TTTTTTTTAGTATTTTCATGTCCATTATACATGACTGATATAATATGAAAAGTATGTTTTCTTTTTATATGATGTTGCTTGCAAGCAAATTTAGTGGTAGAGAAAAAAAATAAAATAACATCGTGGCATTGCACTAATATCTAACACACATAAAGATAAATAGAGATCACAAGAGACACCATTACTTTTGTTTGAAAAATCTATAAGAGGAAAAAAATCATGAGACTTGACTCTGTTAAAATTGATCTATTAGTGTTTATCATCGGTTACAAAATATATTATTACCTTTGATTTAGGAAGGCGTTGATATAATGTAATAAACATAAATTAAATCAAATTGATTTCATGGAGGAAGGTGGAAGAGTTGTGTGGCATAGAAGCATTTTTGTCATCGGTTTGCAAGAGAGTATTTTTGTCGGTTTGGTCACTCCCCTTTGAGGAGGAGAGACCAGAAACCAAGAAGTACAGCATAAATGTTAGTGCTGACATCCATAGTCAAATTTGGTGCCGACAACATTCATTGGCCTTATAGACCATTACGTGCATCGATGTTGATAGTGGTTATGGGGGGACAAAGATTGCAAGCGTCGATGTGGTTAAGCAACAATGATAAGGAGATTGTAATCAAGTAATTATGGTCAGATGATTATAATAGTGCAAAGGTGATAAGAGAACCGTAGTAAGTTAATAATATTAACGCGCGTAGGGCAATCATGTTTTGAAGATCGTGGTTGGGCGAAAGTTATTGGAGGATTATAATCGGGTGATAGTTGTTAGAGAACTGAAGTTAAGTGATGGTGGTTCGGAGATCGTAAATAGGCGATGATGGTTAGGAGATTATTATCGGGAAATGTTGATCGGGCGACAATATTCAAACAACGGTGGTTTAAGGAACATGGTTGGAGGATGATGGTTGAAAGATTGTAGTTGGGTGACAGTGGTTAAAGGATTGTAGAGAGGAGATAGTGGTTGGAGGATTTTAGTGGAGTGGTCATGTGATAGTGGTTGGAGGATTTTAGTGGAGGATTTTAGTTTTTGTAACATTTAGGCTAATTAAAGCAAACTCGCATATGCATTACATACTCAAAACTCGAATCCAAGACCTTTTAGTCAACGGTGGAGCCACGGTGAGGGCACATGCCCCCACTGGCTCGATGGAATTTTAAATTTATTTGTATACTTTCGATAACTTGAATTATATAAAAATCTTACAAATGATTTAGTCATTCAAATATTCCGCTCTTGAGTCCCGCTCTCGCCACTCTCCTTGTCTCCTTGAGTATCGATCTGATCTCCTCGTAGACGTCAAATCGACGAAGAATTATTCTGTGCGGGCGCTTCAATAACTGAGCGGCAGTAGTTAGACAATGATTATCAGATGATCGTAGTCATGTGATAGTGGTCAAAGGACTAAAGTTGAGTGATTTTAGCTGAGAGATATAGCGGGCAATGGTGGTTAAAGGGTTGTAGTTGAGCGATAGTGGTTGCAGTATTGTAGTTTAGTTATGGAAAATATTAGTCAGGGGATCATAGTTGGATGACATTTGTTAAAAGATCATAGTTGAATAATAATGGTCAAATGATCATAATTAGGAGATAGCGGTCAAAGAAATATAGTTAAACAATAGTAGTTAGAAGATCATAGTTGGGGATAGGGTCATCAAAATAGGTTAACAAATTGGGTTCGGGTCCAACTTAAAATTAACCAGACCTGAATCCAACTAACCCGAATCCAACTCATTTAACAAATGGGTCAAAATTATTGACCCAAACCCGACCCTTTGGTAACCCAAATGACCCAAATTTGAATCAATAACCCATTTTGATTAGTTTTTTTAATAAAGTGGTTCATATCACATTTCTCGGACTTAAACAGAATCTCAAAGGATTCTAACATTTTACGACTCTATTTTGTGTTTATAGCAGCAGAATATGTCCGTAGGCACCAGAATATGACTTATAACTACCAAAATATATATTATAGCTCGCACCAGAATATTCCTTGACACAAATATAATCTCAAAGTATTCTAACCCATTATAGCTCCTAACATATATTTTTTTAGTCATATAAACAAATATGTTGACCTCATTATTCAAGGTCAATTCTCCCCGAAACTAATCTTTAGTATCTATGTCTTTGTAGCTTAGTGTAGACGCCATGCTTCTAGGATTTTTCTTAGGTGGATACTCATTGACGTAGTGCTGACTCAACTCTATTATTCAATCTAAATTTAATGAGATTCCAGACATAATAATCTAATCGAACGCCATCGAGCCTGGTTAGGTTCGATTCGACTTCAATCTAAACTCGACGAGTTTAGCCAAATATATTAAAATCTGCACTTTCTTTTTCTTTACTAATTACATTTAATCAATAATTTACTCAAATAAAATTTTAAAATCAATCAAATAAATTTCAAATAAATGTATCGTTAATCAATAAATTTTAATAGAATAAATTCACTAAAAATAAATTAACTTATTCAATGAAATTCAAGACTTCCTACCAAAATAATTTGATTAGATCTTTAATAAATAAACCAAGCTAAATAAAGTATAACTCTTAATTAAAATGGGTTCAAGTCTCATGGACGGCTCAGTTAGGGTCGATTCGAAACACCCTCCGAGATTATAATCTCAACTTTCTAATAAAAATATAAAGTCAAACATAAAATTTCTCTCATAAAATGTAAATACCAACATAGGATAGACTGCATGAGGTTGCCTCTGAGCTTCTCAGAATCCGGCACCTCCTACTTTTCCTCCTTTGACTCGTTTATAAATGTTCAACGTTGAGCTTTCTCCTTGGAAAATTCTTACATATGTTCATTTCCTTTTACTTTGTAGTCGAAGGATATGAAATCACTGCTTTAATCAAGAGTTTTCTTAGGAGTACCCCTCCTAAGATGTAATTAACTATAGGGATTTGAAAGCTCCAAATTAAAATAAACATTATTTTACTCCTATAGAACCAGGGAAAAAATCTTTGGGAGTGCATATACCTTTTTAAAAACCTCTTTTCTAATTTTAAGTATACTTGTAGAATATTGTTATTATCTTTTCAGGTAATATAATATTCTATTTGTATATTCAACTTTAGAAATGATGAATTTTATAAAATCCATTATTACTTTTGGATGTTTTAAAGAATGTTATGGTATCTTTTAAGATGATATAATATTCTTGTTGTTACACCTAAATAAAATAATGGATAAATTTTTCAAAAACCCTATTTCTATTTGTAAACATATTCTATAGAATTTCATGTTCATAATTTGAGATGATATGTTATTATGTAAATTGTGTTTGATCATAGAAATATCATTTTCTAAAACCCTATTTTGACATTGAATCCATTGTAAAATATTGTGTTAGTCTCTCGAGACTGTACTTTATTCTCAATGCAGTATTCGATTACAAAATAGAAGAAATCAAAAATTGTGTGGCGACACATTTTTTTTTTCAAACAATATATTTTATGACATTGTAATAATTAAAGTCAAATTTAGCACATGTTAGAATTGCATAGTGTTCTATAACAATAGACAATTAAACTTTCTACTGAGCAAATCTTCCTAATATAAAAACATAACCAAATTACAAAAGATAATGTAAAACACTATTTTATGACATTCATTATATCACTGCCTTATTTTTCGATGTTCATATTATTTTTTATTTAATTAAAACCCCACATATTCCAAGATATACAGTATAAATTTTTTAAAAATTATTCAAAATATTCATAATCATGGTCTCTCTAATATATAAAAATTTATGTTGTGAAATTTTTTATAGTGCAAAGTTATACAAATTTTTCGCTAGTGGAAATATAAATTTAATTGGAAAATTCGGTAATATTCATAATCTTGATATCTATAGCGTATAAAAATTTACGCGTCAAATTTTTTTACAATCCAAAGTTATACACATTTTTCGCTAACGGAAATCTAAATTTAATAAAAAAATTCAATAAAATATCATATTTTTGAAAATTGAGGTAGACATAATGTGACATACCTCGATTCAGAAACTTTCTAAGCTAGGCCGACGGCTTAAAAAGACCCGAAGTGGCTAAAAAATCCTCTTCTTCCTCCCCAAATCTTCTTATTGTGACTTTTTTCAATCAAATCAGAACATGTCAATCCAGATGTTGAACCTATAAGTGTCACATTTGTTTCGTGCTCAATGAGAGTTTGGTCGAATTATTTTTTATTTTGATAGGTTCATCTCATCAACATTTTTAGTTTGACTATAATTTTGGTGAAATCAGAGTTTGGGCGGTCTTGAACTTAATCACAAAATTTTTTAATTCAAATATGCATATGTTCAATCATTCATGTGTTGAGGTTGATATTGTACCAAACAAACGAAATCTTTCTGAAACGCTTATCACCTACAAGATTAACAAATAAAAATGGAAATCAATTATGTGTGTGTGTGAATATATATATATATATATATATATATAATTAGGCATGTGCACTAAAAGTGGTAAACAATTTCTCAATCTTTTATCAATTATCTGAATATTACCTCTTGACATGTAATAGTTATGTCAATAAGGATTTAAATCATTCATTTTCCAAAAGAACATGCTATCTGACATCTATTATAAGAATTTTAGCCCAAAAGTTCAATATGCACAAAGGCTTCCTAAAAAAAACACAAAGAAAATGATAGGAAAGTCATGAGGTGTAAAGCAAAATTCTTACAATTGAATAGAATCACATGCTCTAATTTATATATTTTTTCAGAAGTCAGATTACTTTTTGAACTAGTTCACATTCCAAGCTGTTTATGTTGAACGGGAAACTATAATAGTAGACTAATGCGAATCATAATAATCCATCTACCTTTTTTTTATTGCTGATGATTTCAACATAAAATTTAGCTCTAGTCCTTCAACATATGGAAGACATTCAATCTAAAAGAAAAGGAAAACATCACGAGCTAACGGTTCAGTTTTCCTCTGCTAAGAAACATACTCCAGTAAGATTCATTGCAAAATCTACATAAATTTTCTCTGGATGAACCACTTGACATTTTATTCAAAAAAAGTGACCACCACTAAACATAACAACCTTAGTAGAGATAGATAAGGCATCAAAGTATATATACAGACTCTCCTCATACAAATTTCAACTTACTTGAATCCTAGTCAAGCAGTTATCTCACATGTAGACAAAGTTCTCAACAGATTACACAAGAATTGGAATTTTCCTCTGGGGCAGCTTGAACATAGTAATGTGTGTTCATCTGTGTATGATAAGCTTTGTAAGCCTTAACAAGCTCCATTATCATTTGTTCATGATGGTTAGGTTCTTCTTTCTTAGGTGACTCTTCCTTCTTTTCAGTCTCTTCTTTCTTTGCAGGCTCTTCTTTCTTTGCTTCCTCCTTCTTTGGCTCCTCCTTTTTAGCCTCTTCTTCCTTTTTAGGCTCTTCTTCCTTCTTGGGCTCTTCTTTCTTCTCAGGTTCTTCTTTCTTCTCAGGCTCTTTTGCCGGTCCAATCGATGTGATTTCAGTGCGCCAAAGCTTTCTTAGTTTGCTCACAACATCGACTGGGTCAACGGTTCCAATCACAGTTAGCATTTGTTCTTTCATGTCAATGGAAATCATGTCGATCCCTGTTGGAACAAAGATGTGACAGAGATATACCTGAGAAACTTAAAGGGCCTGTTGGATTACAAGCAGGATTATAACCTGTTAACTGTTTTATCAAAAACTGTTATTAAAATTTGACATACTGTTTGTGTTTTTTTTTTTCACGATTTAATTTTTTTGAGATTTTTATATCTTTAAACCGTTAAATGCTGTAAATATGCTGAAACTAATCAATGACAGAGTTGGTAACAAGATTTATCAAAATAGTAGGATTTAAAATCTTAAAAAAAAAAAAATGGATGGATTTAAGAGAATTTTGTGAGTTGATGAAGAGTGTTAGATTGATATACCTGGAAGTGTGGAGACAGCCTTCATAGCCTTCTGCTTGGCTTTGTCATCATGTAAATCCAACTTCAGAACAAGTTTCTGTAAACAAGAGCAGAAAAGTCACAAGCCGATTCATCTTATTCTGAATTCAAATGGAAAAACTATTTAGGACTTCTTTAATAAAACTTACGGATCAGTTTTAATTTTTATGCAAGAGTTTTATTCTATTTCATAAAAAACAGTAAAAGGACAGCAAGGATTTTGGACCATTAATGGAATGATAGGAAGAGTTCAATAACAAGATTCCAAATCATTGAAATCATATCCCCGAATAAAGCTGGAAAAGCTCACAAATCTCATTCCAATATAAAATTTGATAGAATAATTAGCTGGAAAAGCTCATCTCTGCGCCTTGGAAATGATCAGATTATGATAAAAATTACAAGAACAAGCAGAGACCAATCAGGCATCTATATAAGGGGCATTCATAAGAATGAACAAAACCAACAATCTCGCAGATTTTGTTCTATGACAAAATGGATATCGAAGAAAGATACCCGGAGGAAAAATACACATGAGTATAAAAATACAATATTTACTACAAAACAAAGTGAAATAGTTGCAGATTTGTAAGATTCTAGTCAAAGATGCCTCTTTTAAGAACTGGAGTGATGGAAATAAGCTAAAGAAACTATTTTTTCAATCAAAGGTAGCTCCTTCTGTCTTCTGCAGAGTATCCTTACCTTCATTTCTCCGGAGAGAGTTGATTGCAGGCAACGACGAAGATGATAATGGCGGAGCTAGGTAGAAAACTGCAGAATGAAGAGGGAGTGGTTGAGAAGAGTGGAGGAAAAGGTAAAGAAAAAGGAGGAGAGATGAGAAGGCTGGGCTCCTATGGAAAAGTAAATAAGGCGAAAAGAGAGAGTTATAGAGACAATATCGTCTGCTTCCAAAAAGGAGTGGGCCTTTGGCTTTCAGTATTCTCTCTCTTCTGTGCTGTTCTAATGGAGAGAGAGAAAGAGGAGTGGGGTTTCATGCGTCGTCAGCTACAGATCTGAAAGCCGGCGGGAAGTCGACATCGATCCGACGTGCACAAGTGCACAACCTTCTCTTTTTTTCTCTCTAAAAGCCGTGGAGAAGACTGAAGAAGTGAAGAGAATTATTTGAGATGCGTTTTCCCGCGGACCAAAACAGGAATGATTTCCCAACCATATAGGTTGGGTGGATGGGCGGGTCGGGCCGTAGACGGGACAGCCCAAAAAAACCCGAATAAATATCATGAAGATTTGGGCTTAGAACATTAATATGTGGATACAAATCCTTCAAAATTATCATAATAATCTCAGCCATCTGATTCAACTTGGATGGCTAGGATTGAAACTAAAAAATATTTTATGAGGCAATTATGATTTTGATATGTTCAATCCCAGCCATAAAAAAATGGAATGGATGGATGTGATGAACAAGCTATTCCTTCATAGTTATCATGACAACTATAAGGACTCCTATTAATTAAAATTTTTCCTTTGCTCATTATATTTTTTATTATAATTTTTTTTAAACAGAATGAATACAAAAGATGGCTTATAAATATTTTTTTTATAAAACTATGTTAATAAAATAAAAACCATAAGCTTTATCAAATAAAGCCTTGATTTGATCCCTTAAGAATATTTTATAGAGACAACTTCTAATATAAATAATTCAGAATTTTTTTATAGAATAATGAGCGAATAAATCATAATTTAGTTAGCAGTTAATTTTTTTTGAACATTTAGGCTAATTAAAGCAAACTCGTATATGCATTACATACTCAAGACTCGAATTCAAGACCTTTTAGTCAACGGTGGAGCCACGGTGAGGGCACATGCCCCCACTGGCTCGATGGAATTTTTAATTTATTTGTATACTTTCGATAACTTGAATTATATAAAAATCTTACAAATGATTCAGTCATTCAAATATTCCGCTCTTGAGTCCTGCTCTCGTCGCTCTCCATGTCTCCTTGAGCCTCGATCTGATCTCCTCGTAGACGTCAAATCGACGAAGAATTATTCAGTCGTTCAAATTATCAATTCTATTATTTTGACCACTTATAAACTACATAATTTATTATAAAGAGAAAATAATGACAATAAATAAAATAATTGGCATAATAATTTGATTAAAAAGAATAATTAATGAATAAATAAGAAGAAATAAGTTAAGATAAAGAAGAAAATATTTTTTTTTTAATATTTTTTATAATATTATTCTTACAATCTTAAATTTAAATATTGTAAATATAACAAAGAATCGAATTATAGCCGACTCAAATTTAACTCAATAGCTCATCAAGCTCAGTCCAAAACCAAGATGACTCTATTGCACCTTACCTACAACCAGGTTTACTATTAATAAAAATGGCAGTAAGCTATTTCATAGCTTTTAAGACAAATTAGTAGGTTGGTCAGCCACCTCAATGGCAAACAAAGGTGATGGCTTATCTGTCTGCTAGCTTCTCCTGTTTTCTAAGTTATCTCTAATTTTGGATTACATTAAATCTCCAATAAAAAATTTGCTCTAATAAAAATTTCACATTGTTGAAATCTGATTAAGGGTAATATTTTTTTTATTAAAAATCAAAATGTACTCATTTTGCTTCTGAATATTTAGAAGAAAGAGCTTGGAAAAAGTGAATTTTCAATATTTGATCAATTTATTTCAATTATTTACTTCAGAATATCCTCCAAAAGAAATTAAGATAAAGACTTCGTTTGAGACAGCTTTTTTACTGTTATGCTTTTTCAATACAACCACAATTTTTATTTAGCTACTACATTTTCGTTGCTTAAGAAAAATTCTATTAGAAAGCTGCTTTCTATAACATCTTTAAAAATTTATATTCTCTATAGCAATTTTACAAAGCAGCAAGAAAGTTATCCCAAACAAAACCAAAACCATAATTCAAAGTTACTGATATAGCCTATATTGTTATACAAGATATGTGTTATTACAAAAAAAAAAAAATGCTGCAGAAAATATTATCTATTATACAATGAACAATTAGAAGCATCTAATTTCCATGAATGAATGATCACATCTCCTTCTCACTCGCACATGAACCAACCAGACCATAAATAATAGTTTCCTGTTCAGCATGCCTAGGTTCAAAATTTAAGAATTTCTACTAATTTCCTTCCATAAAATAAAGTAGCCGTTGACATTTAAAAAAAGGACCGTTGGTTCTGAAGTTACTAATAAAATTAAGATAAACACAAGCAATCCACAGTATGAAGGACATATGAGAATCTGACAGTATAATAAAACAGCAGAACCAGTCTTTATTGCACAGCAAATCGACTAATGGGGATGCTTTACAAAGCTAGAATGCAAAAGTTAAAAGTGACATGCATTCTCTGCAATCATAGATTTTTTTCTTTTCTTCTTATCACCAATTGAATTGTTTCTTCTAGGTGATTATAATGTCTTCCATTTCTAGCCCTGGATATAGGCATTAATGCCCTTTTGTGAAGAAAGCCTTCCTAATTTATAGTCTTTTAGCCTACGAAGGTGTACTAAATCAAGAACAGTAGCTAAGTGTCTTGATTGTATCATCTGGACATGAAGCCTTTTCAGGCATGAAATTGATGAAGAGATCTTTTGCAATATAAATGATAAGTAATAAGATAAAGCTTAAGGATTAAACTTATGTGGAGAAACAGACGAGTTAGGAAAGCAACACCTACAAATTTTTAATAATGGCTAACAGAAAATTATATAAAAAAAATACAAGTGGCTTTATAGCGTTTTGAATAAATCCTTCCTAATTTATAGCCTTCTAGTTTGCTAGAGCACTAATTCTAAAAATCCAAGCGCCATTATCAAGAATAATACCTAAGTATCTAGAATCATTTGGATATGGTACCTACATGTTGATGCTCTTGATTTTGAGCATCATAACAGTGATTTGGATGAGATTGAATGGGGATGTGGACAATAGTTCCTAAGGAATAATAATAACCTAATGCTTTTTTTTTTCTAGATTTGAGCATTCTTGGATCACTAGTGAATTACAGCTGTATTGTATCTGTACATGACAATGAAGCTGTTGAGGCGTTTCAAATCAGAAGAGATTACTACAGTTTGGAATATTTCATTTAAAAGACATAGATCAAGGAAATAAAGCTGATAGTACAAAATCTCTCTCTCTCCCTCAAACTTCACCGCATAATTCTTTCATTTATACAATTAGTCTTATCATGGACATTGTTTGTAGGCCGACCCCACATCATGGGATAAAGGCTTGTAATTGTTGTTATGGACATTGTTTGTAGATCCTTGGCATGACCAGTGATAATTGATAAGGTGAAGTTACAAGGTTAACTTAAATTTCTTGAAGCATACAAGTTAGGAAAGTAACACCTCAAGTTGTTAAAAATGATACATAAAAGTTATGATAACTGAGTCTGACAATTGCTAAGGTAAAACTTAAGCTAAATTCCACGAAATAAAAATGAAAAAACTCACATATCAAAGAAAAAAGAACTCTTACATTACAATTTCTTCTGTTGTGGAACATGCTTTCCATTTCAATGCAGAAGGCAATTTAGAACTAATCAGTGTACAGTATCAGATACAAGCTTCTATGCTGGAACTTTGCAATTCAGCAGCTCTTTCAACACTAATTTCTCAAGTTTAGGCGATGCTGCAATAATCTGCGTTCACCATAATTCCAATGCCATTTAATAAGCATTGAACTCAACAAATTTCCTTGTTTGATTTCTTTACTAGAACAAATAGCACCACTCGATGACTCCGGAACTCGGGGTGCCATTGGGTCTGATCAATATGCCCAATTTGAAACTCCCCCAATGCTGCCTCCAGGAAGCACTCTAGCACAGCATCTGAACAGTATGATCTGATGAGAAGATCTTCAGATCATAAAAGAAAATCACACTGAAGTTTGAAAGTTTAGAAACTACCATTCCGGAGCTCTCCTGCTAAAAATATTGTGGTGTGACTCCCAGAAAGTTGGCTCAGTGTCTGTAGCAGATCTGTCACTGCATCTTCACTGTAAATTACATCAGATCCAACCACTGATGCGCAATCAATGCTCACATAGATTAGTGAAACTTAGAAAATATAATTACAATTTAAAAAGGACCAAATAATTGGCCTATGCAACATGACAGACTAAAAGCCCAGTAATTTCAATATCTTATATCCTAAAAATATATCTTTACATCAAAATCTTCATGATTCACAGCCATTCAGAATCCTTGGGTTGTTTTTGAGTGAAAAGTTGATGTAAAGTATTTGCAAGGAAAGTTTTTGGATGTTTGGTATGAAGTAAAGTTAGTAAACTGCTTGCCACACTGCGGAAATTCCTTCGTAAATGCAGAAAAATTGACTGCATTTATTTGACATTGTATTTCAAAAATAAAAAGCAAAACCAGACTCTTTATAATTAACGCCAGTATATGTATGAACCTTACGGGTTGTTTTTTTAATGTCAGATTAACCTATTAATCCAGAAGAATAGGCAGCCAAGCACAAATAATATATTGGGTAAGGATTGATGAAGTTAATTGCAAGACATTGACAATATATCTTAATTCAGATATGGACCATTGGAGGGTTTTAGAATTTAGACAGATTAGTGAAATTATTTTAATAAACATATTAACATACCAAGAAAATCTACCATTGGCAGGACTAAACACTTAATTCATGTATGCTTCCAAGTTACTATCAAACAAGAAAAATACCTAATGATTTAATCTTAAGCTTTACAACCTATTTCATAATAAAGCAAAAGTAAGAAAATATGTACTGCAGGAACTTCACAATAGTCAAACAGGACCACATTAATTCATGGTTCTCTTCAACTCATACGCCATGAATCTTTAACCTTCAAATCATTACAATGCTAAAGCACAATCCAAAGCATTTAAGGTTTCGTTTGGGAGACTTATGAAAAAGAAAAACAAAAACAAAAAAAAACTTAGCAACAGCGAAAAATGAGGCTAATACCAAAATCAGGCAAAGGCGCTACGAACTCTGTACTAAGATCATCCCCCCATGTGAGCTCCATCACCCTTGCAGAGCCACGAGCATTCCCCAAAACTCCTACATTAACATCAACATTCTTCTTCAAAAGCTTGAGACGATCGTGGAGATCAGTCAGGATGACATGAGCACCAAGAAGAGCTGCCACACAGCTACCATTGAAAATAACGCACCATCCCAAATCAGAAAAAAATCACAAGAAAACTTTACTACTAGGAATTCAACAAAAATAAAATAAAAATTCAAATACCCGACAAGACCGCATCCAGAGCCGAGCTCAACTACATTCTTTCCCATCAGAACAAGCCGCTTACAGTCCACAGCATGTTCCATGAACTTAGCGAGAACAACGCCGCTGTCCCACATCACGGCGCCTGTTACTCCCGGCGTGCCCTAGCAAAATCCAAAAAGGAAAACATATAAAAATGATATTTTTAATCAGGAGTAGAAAAGAGGAGCGATAATTAAGGTTTTTGATACCATGGAGGAGGGGGATTGTAGAATGGAGAGGAGATGACCGCAGGCATCGATGGAGAGAGAATGAGATGATTGTCGGACAAAGAAATTGTGCTTCCGCATTGAAGGCTGGTTGATTGCCCACAATACGAGGATCTCCGCCGCCGCATCGTAGACTGGCCAGACGGCTGAGCCGTATGAACCCATAACCGCAGTGGAGTTCTCTCCGTCGTCCTCGATGCCAAGCTCTGTCGTTTCCGTCATCATCGAGTTTGGACCGTGGAGAAACAGAAACTGAATACCAATGGTCAAATTTAAGTGAAGCTTTTTTTTTCATGATATTTTCTTTCTTTATTTTTTGGTATATGATAAATTTCAATCCTCAGTAAAGTTTTTAAGTTATGAGATTTATCTTTATTTATTTTTATTTAGAAATATCAAAATCCTTTAACTTAATTCAAATCCTCTATAATTAATTACAGGTAAAGATTAATAAATGGAAAGAAAATTCTGAGATTGGAGAGAGAAGAATGAAGCGGTAGGATAGAAGAGAGAGCTGCTAAGTAATTAGTATTTTTTGCAATTAAAAAGTTAAATCTGATGCTTAATTATGTATTAATATTATAGCTAATCAAATAACTCGTTAAAATTTTAATTTTATGGGTAAACGACGAACGAAAAGGTTACAAACATGCTGAACTAGCAGCTTTAATGGACCTTCAAAAGTATTAGAAATTAATTTAGGCATCATGGTCTTTATGGGATTCAAAGGTTCAATCCTTGATCAAAATAATATTTGCACTATTATATATCAAAATTTATGCATTTATAAGTAAAACAATAATTAATGAGAGGATTGCTGCTAATTAATAATCATAATAATAATTGTTGCGGGCTAAAATATACGTGACAGATAGAATATGAGCAATAATTAATGAGAGGATAGAATATTATGTCTCAGCGTTGTACGGATATTCAGCACACAAATAGATAACACAAGATTTTTACGTGAAAAACCTTAGAAAAGGGAAAAACCACGAGTTCATGCCCAATTGAAATAATTCCACCAGTATCTGAATAGATTACAAGTATCTGGTCCGTCCTTAAAACTGAGAAAGATCATATTACAGTCATCAACCGTCAGGTTGAAATCTAATTACGAATGGAGATCAGACGAAAGTCCGGGGTCAGTCGGTAGTCCGTCGAAAGTCCGGCATCAGTCGATAGTCGAACGAAAGTCCAACGTCAGTCAGTGGTAGATCAAAAGTCCAATGTCAATAAGTGGACCGACGAAAGTCCAACGATCGTCGAGGAAGAGTCAGGTGGCAAGAGAGTTCTCTTCCTTCTCTTCATTGCTTCGATCCCCACTCTATGAGGAATGAAGGGTATATTTATAGTTTTATGTGAGTGACATAGCCAATAAATAGGAGGAATATCAAGGGTAAGTTGGGAGTTGTTTGAATGGACGGCCGATATTGATCCCCATGATTGTGGAAATTTGAATGTCTTAATGATATCAAAATTTGGCGATCTTAGGCATATTATATTTGTCTTGTCGAGCCGCTCGATTCGGCTATAAGCATGTCACATTTGGAAGTCGTTTGATCATCCAATTTATCAATTGAACTATCTAAATGCGCTACGGGTCTTTGATTTGGGCTCATATTGAGTTGAATTTAGTATCATTGGGTTCATATTTTCAATACGTTCAGTTCAACTATAAGTTTGCTGAAAACAGAGTTCAGATGATTCCATATTTAATTTTGAAAGTTTCCAACTAAATTTTGCCTTTATATTCATGCCCGATCAAGATAATTTTTTGATGATATATCAATAATAATTCGATAATTGATAGATCCTTAACTCTATGAATGTACATATCAAAATAGCAATAATTCGCATGCCAAATGATTAAAGATTTTCTATGAGGAATTTCTTAAAGAGGGTATTTGTTGGCACTTTTTTATTTGATGTGATTTGAATAAAATAAGAATGATTCTTTTGTACTCAGGATAGATTTCAGAACTGGTGATTGTAGTGTAGTTCCTGAGTTTTATACATGACTTTTTGGGATATGAATCGACTTGTATATTGATGTTTTAAATTTCATAGATGTTTGATAGACTGTTTAATTGAAGGTTTTAGATAACTCTGGTAAATTGTTTGAGAAATTGATTAACATTCTTTCCAAGTTAGATCTTGGGGCATCACATAGAGAACACAAGATTTTTACGTGAAAAACCTTAGAAAAGGGAAAAACCACGTGTTCATGCCCAATTGAAATAATTCCACCAGTATCTGAATAGATTATAAGTATCTGGTTCGTCCTTAAAACTGAGAAAGACCATATTACAGTCATCAACCGTCAGGTTGAAATCTAATTATGTATGGAGATCAGATGAAAGTTCAGGGTCAGTCGGTAGTCCGGCGAAAGTCCGGCATCAATCGATAGCCGCACGAAAGTCCGGTGTCAGTCAGTGGTAGAGCAAAAGTCCAATGTCAATCAGTGGAGACCGGCGAAAGTCCAACGGTGGTCGAGGAATAGTCAGGTGGCAAGAGAGCTATGTTCCTTCTTTTCATTGCTTCAATCCCCACACCATGAGGAATGATGGGTCTATTTATAGTTTTTTTGTGAGTGGCATCACAAGTAAATAGGAGGAATATCAAGGATAAGTTGGGAGTGGTTTGAATGGACGACCGATATTGATCCCATGATTGTGAGAATTTAAATGTATTAATGATATTAAAATTTGGCGATCTTAGGCTCAGTAGATTTGTCTCGTCGAGCCGCTCGATTCGACTATATGCATGTCACATTTGGAAGTCGTTTGATCATCCAATTTATCATTTGAACAATCTAAATGCATTGCAGGTCTTTGATTTGGGCTCGTATTGAGTTGAATTTGGTATCATTGGGTCCGTATTTTCAATACATTTAATTCAACTGTAAGTTTGTTGAAATCAGAGTTTACATGATTCCATATTTAATTTTGAATGTTTCCAACCGAATTTAGCCTTTATATTCACGCCCGATCAAGATAATTTTTGATGATATATCAATAATAATTCGATAATTCTCTAACTTAGATAATTAATAGATCCTTCACCCTATGAATATACATATCAAAATAGCAATAATTCACATGCCAAATAATTAGTGATTTTCTAGGAGGAATTTCTTCAAGAGGGTATTTGTGAGCACTTTTTTATTTGATGTGATTTGAATAAAATAAGAAAAATTGATAAAATTATGTTGCTTAATTCATCAATAAATAATAATAATAGTAATAATAAATGAGTTAATGCTACTAGAAAAACAAAGAAAATCTAAAAGAATTTAAAAATTTAAAGTACTATATAGTGCACTTAGATTTTGTTTGAGACAATTTTCTTACTATTTTTTAAAATAGCTTTATAATAAAAAAAATTTCATGTTTGTAATAAAAATTTGATTAAATAAGCAATAAAAAAACTGTCCTAAATGAAGACTTTTTTTCGTTGTTATAGATGCAGGAGAACTCCTTAATTTTAACTCCAAAAATTAAACATATACAAAACAAATATGAGCATTTTGGCTGAATTTGCTCTAGAATTTTGAAGAATATTTATTGTAAAAGAAAATAACATGACCATCTTGACCACAAAGCAAACCTCAAAAAACTATCTTGAATAACATTTTCCAAAATCTCCTTTTTTTCCATTTTTTTTTCTTGCGCATTGATGATGATGTGGATGCCTACATGACCTCTTTAAAGTTTACATGGTGTGTGAAAATCAAAGAAAAAACACAATTCAAAAAGAACTGTGAAAGGAAGTTACTATACTGAACATCACAATCTATATTTCAAATAAAACATTGATAAAAAATATATATTTTACAAGTAAACATTTTCCTTCACTGCAGATTTTCTTTCAACAAATCAACCTCTGAATTAGTTTGTAATAGAAGCTAATCATTAAATTAACTAAACACATGCTAATCAATACTATGATCAAAAGCAAAAAGAAAAAAAAAAAAAAACTCATAGGCTTAATTTGAGACGGCTTTCTTACTACTTCTTCAAGCAATTTTCTAGTTTAAAAATTAAAATTTTTGTACTAAAAAACTGCTATAAGAAGCAGTAAGAAAGCCGTCCCAAATAAAGTCATAGTTATAATCCTGAATCTCTAAAAGAGCATATACACATTCATTATTGATCTTCTTTAGTTCTGCAATTGCTCATCACTCATGTACAAATTGATAAAAAAAGCACTGCCTACAGTTGTTTAAAAATGGTAAGCAAAATTATAAAAAAAATCTAGCAAAGAAAAGCTATTTAAGGAGTTCTCTTCTCCTTCACTGAGGTTTGATAAGCTGAACAGGAGCTGCAGGAATGCGTACCCACCATTCTCTTAGTCTTCTGATCAACTTCTCACTGCTTCTTTTCCTCATTGGCATCTCTCTGGTATAAAATTCAAGAAGCAGTATCATGACCAAGTACCTCAAAGGCACAAAGATGAATATTACAGCAATGGGTATCAACGTATATGCAACTTTATTGGTGGTCTGCAAACATAAATTAACATAATTCAAAATAAGTGTCAAAAAATATTATAAAAAAGATATTAGCATAACAAACAAAACGAAACAAATTTGGGTTAGGATATCCTAACCCAAATTTGATTATGATGGAGCTAAAAATTGACATCTGTCACTTCTAATATATTTTGATGATATAAAAATACATGATTTGCAGATGAATTTAGAAATAATGAAGATATTTGATGTGAAATGTATGAAAAAATAATAAAAATTTAAGGCGATTATATGTAAATATCATTAAAAATTTGACATATATTTGTTGAATTCAAATTTATATGTGGTTGATAACCGACTTTCCTAACTTTTCTAACCAGTGAGTTGGAACGTGTATGTAAGATGAGGAGTGTATGGAGAATAGAGAAAAAGAGCTATATGTCTCCATCAAGTAAAGCATTCGCCATCAATAAAAGAAAAATCTATGAACATGCTTTCTCATTGTGAAATCCCTTAATAAAAAAATTGAACTCATAAATTGTTAGACCAATCCACTAGACCGGTCCAGCCGGCAGTGAAAGGGAAATGAGTAATTATGATCAAAGGGGGGATGAATTTAAAAGGGGAAGAGTTTATTATGAGAAGGTGGGAATTTGATGAAAGGCTTAGGTATGAACGTAAAAGTGATGATTGGGATACTTGGGGGGAAAAACAACCCATTGGGGAATATGAAATTATGGAGGGAATAAAGGGAACGGAGGCAATCCGAGGGTGAGGAAATTGAAGATGTCAATCTTTGAGGGGGAGGATGCGCATGGGTGGATCTACAAGGTTGAAAGATATTTCGTCGTCAATGAGTCGACGGAGGAGGAGAGACTGACGACAGCATGCCTATGTTTGGAAGGGAAAGCTTTGGCTTGGTACCAATGGAGGGACATGCGACGACCCATATGGAGTTGGAGGGAGTTCAAGAATTGTTTGATAGAACTTTTCCAAACTGGTAGGGGAGGAAACTTTTATGAGAAGTTCTTCGCCTTGATGCAGGATGGTTCAGTGATAGAGTATGGGAGAGGTTCGAGTATCTTGCTAATCGATTGGATCAACTTTCTGAGATAGTGCTAGAGGGAAACATCATGAAGAGATTGATACCAGAGATCCGAGCAATGGTTAGAGTAATAAGGTTTCATGACTTGGGAGAGGCTATGAAGCTAGTTCAATTGGTAGAAGATCAGATGCATTTGGAGGAAGAGACGAGAGGCAGCAACACAGGACGCCCGTACAGGATGACCACAAACTTATTGAAATCCAAGGAGCCAACACCAGATACTGGGGGACTTTGAAGGAAAAGACTGCAGGAGGAAGACCTGGGGATAACTTCAAGAAGCTCAAAAAAACTGAATTACAGGAGAAGAGGACGAATAGGATCTATTTCAGATGTGATGAGACGTGTACGCCGGGGCACAGGTGTAATGACCGAACTCTTCAGGTTCTTACTGTTTAGGATAAAGAAGTAATGGAGGAGGGTGTCATCTTTCCACCTTGCGGACAAGGTGGATCTTTGTGAGGGGAGTATTGTTAGACCGGTCCACACGGGACCGACCCAGGGCTAATAAAGGCGAAAACCTCTGCCTCTTATACACCCAATTAGACGCCTAAGCAAAATAGAGCAGTTTAGGAAGTTTTTTAGAAAGTTTAGGAAGGAAATTGAATGTAGGGATTGTTTAGAGATTTCCTTTTGAATTGTATGCATTAAATAGTTTGTTTTCCTAGAGTTAGGGCATCTTGAATTCAGGATCTCTTACGTTTAGGTTTCCTTTGGGCTCTAGCGACATCTAGATAATTTGGGAGAGATCGAACCTCCTCTCAAATTGAGGATCAACTGGATCTTGCTATTTTCTTCCGTATATTTGATTATTGCAATAAAAATTATTATTTTTTCTAGTTTTCATTGGAGTTTGGAAGCGTTTTCTCGTTGTTTTCCTAAGATTAATAGGAATTACTTTAGATCTACAAGTGTTTCCTATCATAAACATCGAGGCACCTTGATGATGGGAGAATGGCATTATTTTCAATAGCTTGAACACGGTAGACTCAACACCTGATTTGACACAGACGCTTCGCGCCTTTTTGATATAAAAAGAAAGACAAAGTCTATATATAGTAGAAAGAGGCGCTAGCTCGACCTTCCCTTGACACACCTACGTTTGAAATCATTGAATGTTGTAATTCAAATACATATGTAACGATTACAATTTTATTTAAAACTTCAAAGTTAAGTATACTTGTACAGGAGCACTCCTAGGATGAGTGACCTCATAGGAACTTAGAAAGTTACACCAATGGGACAAAATCTTAAGATTATTAGGACAAAGAGGATAATATCTCGATAGTTGAGAGTTTATATTATTAAAAAATTGTATCAGAGCAATACACCGCTCGGAAGATAGGATCTCTATCTTTAAAATCCTATTTTACTAGTGGATGATTTTGGGCTGAGAAAACTAACGAGGACGTCAATTACTAAGCGGGGAAGAATGTGAAATCCTTAATAAAACAAGCTAAACTCATAAACATTGATACGCCTTTTAGTATAATTGCTAGAATTTTATTAGAATTTATAAAGTCAAGCATGCTCATATTCTTGCACTCCTAGGCAAGGTGGCCTCCTAAGAAGTTATACCCAAGGGACAAAATTGTAAGGTCATTAGGTCAAAATGGAGAAGTTTATGCCGTTACAATGATATCAGAGCAATACACCATCTGAAAGATGGGAACTTAGTGCTCCTATTTTCTTGATAGATGATTTTGGGCTAAGGAAACTAATGAAGATGGCAGTTGCTAAAGTGGGGGATATTGCAAAATCCCTTAATAGAATAATTTAAACTCATAAACATCCAGACAATTTTTGGTGCAACAGTTGAAAGTAAATTATAAACTCTAAATTTAAGTGTGCTTATACATGAGCACTCCGAGGATATGTGACCTCCTGAAAAGTTACACCAATGAGACAAAACCGTGAGGCCATTAGGTCAAAGTGAACAATATCTTGATGGTCGAGAGTTTGAATTGTTACACTCCTTTCAAAGAACATGGCTTCTATAATCAAAACTAGAATTTCATGGCATTAACCTGTATTGATTTTCTCCTTTCAAATAATATAACTATACAATCAAAACTAGTAATTGCTGGCATTAATTAGTATTGGCCTTGAAAAAAATAAAATTGTTTTGATCTCTTAAAGAATATTACTGGACTTCTCTTTGGATGATAAGAATGTTCATACACCATCAAAACTAGTAGTTTTGAAACTCAATAATACTATTGAGGTGTGATTCATCATTATTGCTTTAATACACCATCAAATATTGCCTGTCTAATGGTATCTCTTTTGTTTTTTTGGGACATTTGTCTAATGGTATCTCAGGAATCCTTAAACAAATAAAGTAGAAAAAAATAATGTTAGCTGTATTAAAAGAATCTCTAAACACTAAAAAAATGTACTGAAAATTTTTACAATAATTTCTAAGAAATCATTGATATATCATGCTGATTATTCAGTATGTATTATTATTTTATTATAAAGCTTACTTTGTTTTATAATATAGCTAAAAGATCAAACCTGAGGAAATGCTGCGAGGAGAATAGCTCTCAGCTTGAGAAGAACTATACATCCTGTTTGGACACATGCTTCTAACTGGGAAATAGTTTCTTGTAGTGTCAGAAGTAGCTCAATGGTGCTTCTATTAGGAGGTATTGTGATTTTAAATGGTTCAATTTGTCGCCCCTTTCTGTAACACTTGTTCCACAGCATAACAAATGAGAGGGACAATAAAACGCCGGGCCACATGTACCATATCCAACCTCTAAAATTCATGAAGAAAAATTTAGCATGATAAAAAGATGAACAAAAAAAGAAAAGAAAGGGAAAAACTGTTTGCCGTATTAGACAATTTTATTAATTCTGCAAATTAAAGGTAAACTTATGGAAGTAGAAATTCAAGACCTTACAATAAAAATGCAGATAAATACATTGATAATTTTGTGGCATGAAACAAGAAAGACACTAACAAGCACTTTAACGAGTTATAATAAATATCGTCTGCAAACTTTATTAAATAATATTTTAAGAGTGAGACTACCAACTCTATGCCGGGTGGTCCTATATATATATATATATATATATATATATATCATAAAAGCTAAGTACATGAATCTATATTGCATAAAAAACTAAATAATCTAGGCATGAAAGTAAAGTACATGGTATCTATATTACACAAAATATTGAATATATCGCACGAAATGATCAAAACTTTAAAAGATAACATGAACTCCCATAAATGTTTAATGACCCCTTGTGATTTAGCCTGTGCAATTTTAGACTGAAATATTCTGCATATGCAAGTAAAAATTGTAAATCTATATTCTATAAGGAAAAAAAATTCAGGAGTGCAATGTGAAGCATATACACTAGTAATTGAGAAAAAAATACTTCCAATCAATGACTCTTAGCAAAAACAGACTAGAAAAATAAAATAACCAAGGTTACAAATGGCACCAATAACTAAACTTGCTGGTTCTTGAGTGTTTGTTTTATATTTCAATTGAAATATAACATACAAGTCATTTTCCTCGGAAACGAATTTGATTCGAAACTTGATAGTTAAAAAAAATCACTATTTCTTTCAAACCCGCAAGGAAAAACCCAATCTACGTTAAGAAAAAAAGGAATATTACCTGTACATAATATACAAGATCAAAAGCAAAAACAATGTTGACTTTAAGTTATCATGCCATTCTGTTAAAGAATAGAGCCATTTGCCAAATTCAACCACTGGAAAAAGCAACTCCTACAGAAATAAGATAATAACTATAGTCAAGTTAAAATCAATTTAAGCAATTTTGGATGCCTATGAAAAAAATCACATCATTTAAATTAATTATGAAGAATAAGGTACTTAAGATTAAAATTTTCATAAAATCAAATACAAATGGCTAAAATATCAAATTAATTCCATTAGGGCATATTCAATATATGTATGTATAAGTTCAATAGTTGAGGGTTTTGCACCCATTCGCCATTGAGATGGGAAGGTTGACAGCATTTAGTTAATAAACAAACAGTGGGATAGTCTCTCACAGATAGCGTCAAGTTAATGCATACTAGAATATTGAGATCCAATACACAAACATGAGTTACAAATAATGCATGGGAGACTCATAAATTTTTCTATAGAAATCTAAACCATTAGACCTACCACACATTAAATAATTCCATTATTTTAAGTTAAAGAATTATAAAAGTTCACCCTTCAAGATAGCAGAAGCCAAGAATACAATGTAAAAGATTTATACGGAGAATATCTGTGGTGTTAGAACTTAGAAGGGAGTTTATGAATGTTGAGGTTGATGATGGACATCGGTTGTTGGAAGAAAACAGATGTTACCAATTGCGCGAAGGATAGCATCGGGCATTGAATTGACGACAAATGATGGGTGTTAGTCGATAACAAAATTTTGATGACATGCAATAATGGATGTCAAATGTCAAGTAAGGTAGTCCACGTAGTCCTTGACTTAATGAAGGGGGGATACCGTGATATATAGTGCAACCAAGATGGCAAAGAGAAGTCTCAAAGAGCATAAAACTAGATACAATCGGTTGGTGTTCCAAATACTGATTGGAACCCTGAAAATTCTCTACAATCATGGAATTATACCTATCATAAAACTATCTAGAGTGTGTAAAAATAAGTCCTATTATTGATTACATGATGGAAATTTTCCTCATTTTTATCTGAATCTATCAAATCAAAGCACACATTGAATTATACTGCATGGTGAATTTGCACAAGAAGGGTTGATCAACCTCCTTGATAGTGATTCGATCGAGTTAGAACAGTTGTTGGATAACGAGCTCTGATTTAAAAGTTTTTAATGTTATGTAAATCATTGCAAAGAGATGGTTGTATGATTAGAAATATGGTGGAATCACAATTTATTTGGTCCACTTAATTTCTAGAAGTTTATATAACTGTTTTGGGTGCTTCAAGTCTTTATTTTGGTGTCAAACTTAGTTCTTGATCAAGGAAGATCATGGAGCCTTTTCAATGATAGAATATAAGTTCAGTTGTTGCTTAAAAGAAGTCAAATATTAGAGAAAGGGGAAGAGCACCTAAAGTCCTTTAAGCTTAAAAATAAAGCTACAACTGGTGCTCTATCAATATCTTTCATTAATGCAAGTATCAAATGGAAAAAGACTAGGTTTTAAGAATTACCTTGATCAAAGATAATTTTGTATCAATATCTTCCACTTTAACCTGATCCAATGTTGCTTGTGCTGCCTCAGCCCTACCAGAATAGCATATCGTTTTTATAACTGCCTTTCGTAATGAACTTGTCTCACCAACATGAACATCCCCTTGCAAAATCTCTATATCTTCATGCCAATGTTCATTTGGCAACAATGTAAATCCCAGTTTTTTAAGTGCATACAGAGTGAAAGGGAATGGGCAATTGTGCATCCTTTCGATAGATGAATCCTCAAAGGCATCATAGTCATGAGATCGAGCAAGCAGAAGTTCCAAATGATTATATAAAGCTTCTAATATATTGTCACCTTTTGGAAGTTTTTCTGCTAAGTTAAACAGGAGTGTAGTCCTAAATTCCGTGGGAATGACATGGAATTTATCTTTCATAACATGAAACCTGAAGATGCCTAAAATAGCCATTGAAAGAGCTTCTTCCCTTTGAAAATGTTTCAGATTGAATTTCCTAACAAATCTATGAGCATATAAAACTTCCCGGACGATTGCAAGCCAGTAATCTCTCCTTGAATGCCCAATGATTTGAGGAAACTCAAAAAAGATTGGTTCTGTTCTGTTACACAAAACTTAGTTAGACTAGTTTCTAACAGTCATTTCCACAATAATAAAACATTACAACACTTACAGAGAACTTGCTTTGTACATCACAGCATTATCAAAGAGATGCGCGCCCCATGGCCCAGTCAGTTCACGTTTCACCACTTGCTTTAAATCTGTTGCCAAGTCATACCTAATAGCTTTGTCATATGAGCCAACCCCAAATCGCTCGAAGTAAAGGGCATGGCTGGTCAATGTTAACCTTCCTGCTATCAAGAATATATCCCTAAGATTTTTAAATATAAATTAATCAGCAAAACTGGCCACAAGGGAGACACTTAACCAGGTGATGTGGACATTCCAATATGTTGCAGTACTAAATTAGTGGGCATTGTGCCATGAAAATCTAATATAATTTCTTCATGAGCGAGATGAAGAGACGAAATTGATGCTGGCCCTTTGAAACATCTTGCAGAATTGAACACCCTGAAAGATCAAATGGTTTGAGTTCATCATCATAACATTGTAAAATCATTACTTGAAAGTTGAAATACAAACAGTCACCTTTAGCTTAAAATATACTGATGCTGTAAATTAATCAATTTGTAGGAGTTGATTATTAATTGGGCAAAGTATTGCAACTGTCCAATGGTTTCTTTTAGTTCTTCAAAAGATAAAAGTAAAAAAAAAAAAAAAAAACAGCGTAAAAAGAAAAAAAAATGTTAAATTCTGAAATTACTCTTTGTTAATTAAATAGCTTTGCGCTACAAATTGGTTAGTGCAAATTCAAATTTAAAGCTTAACAAAACGTGGTGACATGGAATTAAATTCTGAATTTTTATTTTATCAAAGATATTGGAGTTATTTTAGGCCTTTTAGATTTCGTTATCTTATTAGGATTGCAGGCAAATTTGTAGCATTTGTTAGCAGTTTAATAAATCTGTATTAGCGATTTGTTAGTATTAACTATTAAATCAAAATTACTGTTCACGGACGTTGAACAACTCACAGAATAATAAAACCGGCTTTACTCCTTTTCTCTTACATCTTACCCTCCTTTCCACCCGTCCAACAACTTTACATAAAAATTTCAGATTTTCTATATAATTTAAATTTCAAATTTGTATTCAAAATTCTAAAAAAACCTTCAAGTCTTCCTAAACCTCTTCCATGTGTTCCTTCAAGAAACTAAAAATAAACCTTCAAAATTTAAAGTTGTCATAATCCTATCCTAGTAAGGCCATCATTCCGTGGCAGATTGCATTCAAAAAGTATGGAAAGTGAGTGGGAATAGGTGGGTATGACATCCCGAAAGTCATCATGGATGGGCGTGGGTGGGCGAAGCCCGTCCGAGTAAAGCATGGATACCCATTACAGGACCCCATGTAGGGCTTTGTTTGACTGGAAGCTTGGGTTGAGGTCGGATGGGGTAGAGGCGTATGGGTTCAGATATGTTGGAGGATGAGGCAGCTATAAGGGTCGGTGCAGAGAAGGAAGAGGGCGCGAGTTCGGTTGGTGATTATGGAGGTAGGGGGCTCTCTCTCTCTCTCTCTCTCTGGACCGAAGGAATCAGAAGGAGTGCGGCTGCAAGCAAGGCATCGGAGAGGGTAGAGTTCGGATAGAGGCGTGAGGGTTTTTGAAGTCGGAAGGTTAATGGGGTTTCGACGAGCGGTTTGACGCGGGTCTTGCAGTCGGAGATGAGAGGGGAGGCGGGGTTTGCTGAGATCGAGAGCAGCGGAGGGAGCTTTGTGTGGAGGAAACGAAGTAGTAGCCCGAAGGCTTCATTTCATTCGCGTTTTAAAGACCAAGACAAAGGCGGGCTCGAGGTACGCATGCGATGACTGCAACGACGCCATTTACACAGGGTATGGGCGTGACATTTGTATGTAAAAAAGGCCTCCTGCAAGGGCCTGTAATCATTTGCATTTGTTATGCATCTTATATGTTGTTTGCTTGCAGATAACATGTAGCATGTATATGGGTCTCCCACAGCGGCCCGTGGGAGCTTGTATTTGATGTAGTCATTTTGCATTTTGCTTGTGAACTCCACTTCGGGCATACAACGGGTCTTTTATGATAGCTTGTAGGAGCTTGTGTTTGGCATAGTCCTTTATGGATTTCTCCTTATAGATGACATGCAGTGTGTATGGTGGACTTGTATAATTAATGTTTGTTTGCAATCAACATCACCTATTTGCATCATTTGTTCACTCCATATTGGTCGTTATTCATGATCAAGGTGTTCCATAACATTGCTTACAATGATATTCATTGAAGAGAACTTCGGAGTAATGTTAGCAATCAGAGTGTATTCTTCTATCGCTTCCCCTTTCATCATTCGTAGGTAGGACATGTTTGGGACATGTTCATCACAACTCTCTTACTCATGTCTATTGATGTCTCATTAAACTCAATGGCCTCAATAGTTTATAAAGGCTTGATGCAACTATTTATAAACCATTTTAACTTCACTATTCTTGGATGAGATGTTAGGGATTTCCCACACCATGAGTCTTCGTTTTCTTGCACTTTGTTCGGATGCTGCAAGTTAATTAATCTTTACTATTGTTTACAATCATTCATAAGCATTGCTATGTTCACTACACATCGTAGAAGATCGATTTGTTTACTTGTATATTGATTTTTACTGTTTACGAAATATGGTATGCTTGACTGTATGAAGATGTTGTAATTTTCATGCATTTTATGCAATCTGCTTATGATTAATGTACATCATACTCATCTTGTTCCCACAAATGAGTTGTTGTGCTTTATGAAAATCTTGTATTCATGCTCACAATCATGTGTGGGTCGTTGCCCTTCTTTGCATATCAACAATCACATCCACTAACAGCTCTCCCTTTTAATGCTTTCAAGCTTCTCTAACATAGACTTGTGAGTTGATTGATATGAACACCACTAGTTTCATATTGTTTCTATGTGGATTAGAAGTTCTGCAACATTTTCTACAATCAAATTGCATATTCATATTGCTTGTTGCTTGTGAATGGGATATAAGAATTATCTTTGTCCAATATGTCTCTTCATTTGCTCACAAGTGATTTGTATTTGTAGTCCTTTGGCTCATCACAAGCCTTCACACATTCTTGTGCAATTTAGTTTGTGCATTTCATCATCTTAGCTCTAATTCATTGAAGTCCAATAGCTTGCAAGTTTGAGTCCCTTGTAGTTCAAATTAAGTCCTTGCTTACATGATTAATGTTGTTGTATTGCAAAATTACAAGCTTCATTTTAAATATTTAAATTATGTTACAAGCTATTAATTTGATGTTCAAATTATAGCTCAGTTCACCATCATTTGTTTAATGTGCAAGCTTAAACCATTAGAGTTTAGTTCGAGTCCAAAGTACAAGTTCAAGCGATAGGTTATAGAAGGTCTTCGGCTCCTGTTCAACACAGGGGGAGATCGGGTTGGGTTCTTAGCAAGGTGGAGAGTCGAGATTGCAGTAAAGGGTAAAGGGTTGAGGCAAGAGGCGACGTCGGCTATAGGTAAGGGTCGGACGATCGTTTGACTGCAGAGCCCTGCATTGGGTACCCATACCACACCCACCCAAATACCCTCATACCCAATGGGAATGAGTGGGTATGGGTACGCTTATGACCTTGTGGGTGGGTATGGTTGGGTACTCAACATCAAGGGATAAATCGATTTACATTGCTAATCACTGTATATATTATATTACTGTAATCTTTACTATGTAGTGTGCAGCACTTAACCACACTGCGACTATGGTAAATATTGATATGCAGAGCTTGAAAGTTTACAATCAAAGCAAAGGGCAACAAGCCTCAAGGCCATCATTCCGTGACAGATTGCGTTCAAAAAGTATGGAAAGTGAGTGGGAATAGGTGGGTATGACATCCCGAAAGTCACCACGGGTGGGCGTGGGTGGGCGAAGCCCGTCCGAGTAAAGCATGTATACCCATTCCAGGACCCCCATGTAGGGCTTTGTTTGACTGGAAGCTTGGGTTGAGGTCGGATGGGGTAGAGGCGTATGGGTTCAGATATGTTGGAGGATGAGGCAGCTATAAGGGTCGGTGTAGAGAAGGAAGAGGGCGCGAGTTCGGTTGGTGATTATGAATGAGGTAGGGGATCTCTTTCTCTCTTTGGACCGAATGAATCAGAAGGAGTGCGACTGCAAGCAAGGCGTTGGAGAGGGTCCGGAGGTCCGGCTTGTGAGAGAGTTCGGATAGAGGCGTGAGGGTTTTTGAAGTCGGAAGGTTGATGGGGTTTCGGTGAACGGTTTGGCGTGGGTCTTGCGGTCGGAGATGAGAGGGGAGGCGGGGTTTGCTGAGATCGAGAGCAGCGACGGGAGCTTTGTGTGGAGGAAGCGAAGTAGTAGCCCGAAGGCTTCATTTCATTCGCGTTTTAAAGACCAAGGCAGAGGCGGGCTCGAGGTATGCATGCGATGACTGCAACGGCGCCGTTTACATAGGGTATGGGCACGGGATTTGCCTACAGGTAACAATTCAAAACCCCTTTTTTATTTTTATTTTTTTGTTTTGTCCGTTGGCTGCAGCATGGAGGTCAGCTGTGCCCTTTCTTCTTTTGTCTCTAGGTAGTTGAAGTTTTAACTTGTTCATTATCTTGCATAACTCTTCAATTTTAATATGCCTTAAATCTTTTTATAATTTAATGGTGGTACAGAGGTTGTTTGAATGTTTTTTTTTTTTTGTTTTGTCCGTTGGCTGCAGCATGGAGGTCAGCTGTGCCCTTTCTTCTTTTGTCTCTAGGTAGTTGAAGTTTTTTTTTTTTTTGGGACATTTAGGCCATTTAAGGCAAACTCACACACACAATTCATACACATGGACTCGAACTTTGGACTTCTTAGTTGGAAGCCTAAGCTCTCAACCAATAGGCCAAGGGGAGTTGTGTTAGTTGAAGTTTTAACTTGTTCATTATCTTGCATAACTCTTCAATTTTAATATGCCTTAAATCTTTTTATAATTTAATGGTGGTACAGAGGTTGTTTGAATGTTTTTTTTTTTTTGCATTGTTGTGCTTTCTTAACAATGCAGCTTAGTGTATCTACTGAGGCTCATTTATTTCAACTTTTCTCTAACTTTTCTATACAAAAAATTGCTTCTTGAAAGCAGGTAGCTGTTTGGATGGCTATTTTTGACATGCTATATGAAAAACTACATGTTCAAATCAATGGTGAGAAGTTAATTTTTGACAATAGTTTTGAAATAGTTGCTGGAATATACTTTCTAAAGGCAGTGATGCAAAGGACAATAATGCCCTTAAAATCTATACGCCTACCCATTTGAAACATACAAAATAATGAATCAGGCATTTTTTTTTCTTTTAGATGATGAAATTGTTCCACAACAATTTTTACCAAACAAGAATTTTATTATCTGGTTTTTATGCAACATCTGCACCACAAATTCAACGAAACAACTTCAACTATTATACTCACAACAACTACTTACAATTGCTTTACTATATAAATTTTCCAACTAACCATACTGACACCAACAACTGAACCAAAAGAGCCCTTAAGTAAACTAAAGCATATGCTTTGTTGGTGCCTTGCGCTTCAAAGCAAAAAATCCCTATGGTTAAATTATAGGAAATATTTTGTATCTTACTTTTTATATGTTTACTGGTGAAAGATAACACAAAATTTATATCCGTGGAAACCTCTAAACTTCTTTGTCATGTAACTTATTTTTACTAAAAAACTGAAAGTTCTCATTATAAATTTATAAGAAAATTCATTATTGATGGAATTGATTCAGAAGTTAAGAGAGCGTACTTATTTAGGCATTTCAGATACTTGTCATATATCAGCAAATGAAGTTGCCCGCCTGAAGAACTAGTGAGTGCATCAAAAAGGTTGTGGACGGTGATTGAATCGGCTATAGCAGGGCAAGCAGGAGCTATTTTGGCAAAGGCTTCTAATCCAACAGTATTTTTGTAATCCACCTGAATAGCAACATTGCGGAAATATTAACATGAAGTTAGAATTTTCATATAAAGGTTTTTAACTGCATGATAATGAGGCTTAGTTTTTTACTGCTATTGTGATAGGAAAAGCAGATAACCAGAAAAAGTATTTATTCGAAGAAGGCATTGACCAACTTTTAACCTGATCTTCCCAAAATTTATTTTAGGCAAACTACTTTAAGGAAAGAAGAAAAAAAATTGTTATTGAGAACACAGTTTTTAAAAATTTATAACCGCGAAACAGAAAAGCATAAACTACGAAGCTCCCTCAAAATGTGATGTGAAATTTGTTGATGGTTACCTGGACAGCCATGCTTGTAGCGCTTATATAAAATAATGATCCACCATCCTCCTCAATTATTGGATACTTACAGAAGGAAGATTCCTATAATTGCAAAGACCATCTTGTAAGAATAGAGGAAAAGAAAATCACATTTCAATTACTTGAGAACAGAAAGCAACATAATTGAACAAAGAAATTCAAATGGATCGAGTGTACTCAAATCATAAATGAGCTCCATATAAAAATCTTCTACTAAAAGAACTTGGGCATCTCACTTGTAGCAAAGCTTCACTATCTGTGTCTGGGGTTTCCCATGCAAGCATCATCTCAAACATTAAGCGGCGAATCGATTTGTTACCAAGTAGTTCTAGTTGTTTAGTTATCACAAGAAGTGTCTTGTAAGAACAAAATTCTATGATATTCCGAAAATATTTTGATTGAAGTTTGACATTGTCAGAAAGTTCATTCTCAAAAGACTCCAGCAGCCTAGCTGTTGAAATAAGCAAAATCCTGAAAACATCATTCAGTGATTTAGTTTCCCATCAAACTCCAGATGGCAATATCAGCCATCAGGCAACTTAATATGATGAAAATAAAGTTCAGTAAAAGTAAACCCCAAAAAACAAAAAAAAAAATCCTTTTAACTTCTTGTTCTTTAATGTGAGCAAGAGAGTGGCTCATCATGAATTTCGTACTGGATTTACAACGTAAAAGCACTTGGAATAAGGTACTTAAATATGGAAAGCATTCTTACATTCATAGACATCTAATTTTGTTTTGTACTTTTCATGTAATGAATTTAATCCTAAGATATCACATTGAAGAAGAGCTTCTCCTCAAATAGATGCACATGGTTTCAAACTATTAAATGGGCTCTATACTGTAGACCCCTCCAAGTACCAAGAATAGAGTTCACCAGAATCGGAGAAAATTGATTTAGTGTATTTCATTTCAACATGTATAAAATTTATTCAATGTTAGAAAAGCATCTGATAAGAACACTATGAAATCATAAAATATAATTAATTATGATATTATTACTGATATATCATCAAAACATTATCTTGATCGGGCACCAATCTTGAGACAAAATTAAGTTGGAAACTTCCAATATTAAATTCGGGACCATCCGATTTCAGCAAACTTGTAGTCGAATTGGACGTCTCAAAAATACGAACCCAACGACACCAAATTCGACTCAATCCGAGCCCACATGGGTCTAAATAGAAGACTCGAAGCGTATTGGGAAGGTTCAAACCATAATTTGGATTACCAAACGGTTTCCGAACATGACATGCTTATAATCTAATCGTTGCAGTTCAATGATAACTTTATGCTTATGTAGTATGGGTGTAGAAAAAGTTCATTGTTTGTGAATAGTTGCGGTTCAACTCACTAAGACTTCGTTGGGACGGCTTTTTTACTGTTTCTTAAAACAACATTCTAATACAAAATTAAAAATTTTTGTACTAGAAAGCTGCTTTAAGAAGCAAAAAGAAATCAGTCCCAAACGAAGCCTATGTAATCTGTATTCAACTCAATAATTAAGTAAATGGGGCAAGCTTGAACATATATTTTGAGCCAGTTTTCTTCATAAGTCAACAAACAGATCTATATTCGATTGCGTTCGACTCATCAAGGCTATATATATATATATATATATGGCTGAAGCTCGGCTAGTTTACACCCTTATTATCTATTAAGACATATATTTGTGAGGAACAGGGTACGCCTATGTTTAACGGGCCTGAGATTAAAATAGTAAACATACGCTAACATTCTAAATTTCAAATTCAATCAAAATATTAAATGCCATTGGTATAGCTACTCGTGTCTTCCTCTTCTTCCTTGTATGCTTCGAATGTCAGCTACTCTGGATTTTATAACAAGATTAATTAAAGCATTACATTAATTTAATCCTCTAAGATTTAAGCGATTACTCCAACCAATTAATTATCCATTACCGTCGCTGAAAAAAACTAAATCCAGGGACGAGATTCCGACCTTCAACAGAAAGGCATAAGGATCACAATGTGATTATATTGATCCCATGGGAGAGCTCATTCCAATGGATAAAATAGATTAAGTAATAAAAAACAGGCAGAATGAAAAAAAGAAAAGAAAAAGAACGCAAATGGATGAAAAAGGGTCTAAAAGGATTCCTGCAACACCGACGGATAACTGAATTAGCGATGGTCGATAAACCATTAATGTGTTCTCCTCCTTCGTTTGTCTCTTCCATATCTAAATCCATCTTGCTCTCTTCTTTTTCTTGTTCTTGCTTTCCCTCTTCTCGCTCCTGTCACTCTCTCTCTCTCTCTCAAACCCGTCCATGGATGGCCTTTAAAATAAAAAGGAAAAGAAACAAACAAGAACCCCTTCGAAGTTGGTCACGACTCCCAGAGAATGATCAAATTATATTTGTTTGACACGTGTCATTTTAATTTTCTTTTGCATCGTTAAACTTATATTTAGAATTTAGGGTTATTCGAAACATTTATAAATGTGGCATCCTAAACAATTAAATATTTTCTCATTGAGAGTTGCTTCTTAGGCTCTGAATCAATTTGAATTTAAACTTATTCAGATCTTAGATATCCTATATATTTCCAGCATCTTACTGAGCTTTCATTCATGTAATTAGATATCCTTTATTCATTGCAAGCACTGACAAGTTTATATATAATTTATTCGAGTTCTTGTGAAACATTGAGCTTTTTATCTTGCTTAAAGTATAATTGTGAACAAATATATCTCATAAGAAAATATATGTGAACTTTCTTTTTGAGATAAAATTATCAACCCCTAAATTCGTGGAGAAATATGTGTGAACTTTCTTTTTTAGATAAAATTATCGACTCCTAAATTCATGGACTACTTGTTGAAGTTCTAGATGAATAAAATTGGTTTGAACTCAAATTTGATTTTATCTTGGAGTTATGGCGAAGTTATTTTCTCATTCACCCTTTAGCTCCTACAAGGCGAAGGCATCTACTAAGGGAAATTTTCAAAGGGAATAGTAGCATGTAAGGAGAATATTTACATTTGGATAAACCTCACTAGGCAAGGCGTGTCACAACCCAACCCGATTATGACAAAGTCCTATCATATTGAGATGTGACAGACAAATCCCAAGATCCAATTTTTAAAAAATTTAGATTCTCTTCGATATTCATTTTAAATAAACTATTGAAACATCAAAATATTGAAAATAAACTCATATGTAAGATTTATTTCATTTCATCAAAATATATTTACAATACAGTACATGACTACATGCAAAAGTTACATAACTAAATTATAAAATAGTCATAACTGTATAAAAATCAAAATAAGGAAATACCTATGAACTCAAATCTTGTCATGAACTACTAATTAACAATCTCCTTCCCTTTTCCAGATCCTGAAAACTAAAAGTAAAACTTAGTGAGCTACAACAGCTCAGCAGACCACAATTTGATCTAAATTTCTAAGTTCTTTTATTAAATATTTTGTTGAATATTTAAAGCAATTAAATGGAGTCAAATAAATCATTGTGCTGAAATGTAATAAGAGCATAATAATTATCCAATTATTTAAAAAATAATACTTAGTAGATAGATACATTATAATTCTAATCATAAAGCATTTTATATCACATTTTTCTGACCTAGATAGAATCTTAAAGGATTTTGGTTCTTTATGACTCTATTTTGTGCTTATAGTACCAGAACATGCCCGTAGACATCAGAATATGACTTATAATTATCAGAGTATACTTTGTAGACATCAGAATATTCCTTGATACAGACATAATCTCAAAAGTTTCTGACCCTTTATCTCTCTCCAGCATATATAATTTAATCACATATACATATTTCTCATCATATTATAATAGTTAAAGTGTAATTGAGCATGTGTTAGAATTACACATTTTTTTCTAACGATATGCAACATAAAATCCTACTAAGAAAAAATACAAATTTTTTAAATAATTAAATTACTAGAGATTGTATAAAATAATACTTTATGGTTTTTATCGTACTACAATACTATTTTTCAATATCCATATAATTTTATATTTAATAAACTTCTCACAAATTTTAAAACACCCATTGTAAAATTTCTAAATATTCAAAATGCCCATAATCATAATATCTGTAATATATAAAAAGCTATGTTGAGAAAGTTTTACCAGTACAAAGTTCTATGCATGTTTCACTAACATAAACAAAAATTTGATCAAAAAATTAGATAAAAACTTGGTATTTTTTAAAATTGAGATTTGTGTAATATGACATATCTCAAGATGAACAAGTTTATTGGCTGGGCCGACGAAATAAAACATCTTGAAGTCATCCAAAATCGGGTTATTCTCTTCTCTCTCCTCTATTTCTTCCCTAATTTCCCTAAGCAGATTTCTGTTGCCGAAAAATGGAAATGACTAATGAAATTTTAATGCCATTTAATATAATTAAGTTAGCGAGTTTTGATATTATATTAAAATATTAAATAATTATTTTAATTGTTTAGCATTAAAATACTAATTTCATATACATTCTTTTATATCTTCAAATTCAGGAATTCAAAAATTACAAGAAAACTAATAAATTAGCTAATCGGGGTTATTTTGATAAATTAGAAAAAAAAAAAAATAGAATTAATTAGATAATTTTCCAATTAAAAATTTTAAAAAATTTCAATGTTTTTTTTTAAATTTCTGCCTATATTTATTTCAATAGGGGCATTATGCGGAGTCAAAATTCCCGTTGATATAAAACCCAGGGGAAACTTCGCGAGGCTATCTACGCTTGCCTCGATTCATTTGTTATATTCTTCGAAGCTACATAGCGCCTCGGTTCGTTCGTTTTGGGGTCTCTCTACCTGTTTCGAGGAGGAGAAGGCAAATCGATGGCAGGCAGGGAAGTTCGAGAGTACACTAATCTCAGTGATCCCAAAGGTAACCCTAGTTTCAATGGTTTCTTGTGGTTGTTCGAATCAAATGTGTTATGTGCCGACGATGCGATTGGAAAGAGAGTAGTTTGCGCATGTTTTTATCATCTTTTTTGTTTTCTTTGGCATCTGATGCAAGGTCGGTTTTTGCGCAGATAAGAAATGGGGGAAGGGAAAGGATAGGGTGGACGATGAAGATATTACTTTTCAGCGCATGGTTGCAAAGGTTAGGGGATCGGCCCTGTTATTCCTTGTATCTTACTCGTGTTTTCTGTTTCAATATCAATCTCATAAGTTGCTTTGATTAGTTTTTCTTGATTGCCGCTGCCTCGGTTAGTGCCAGGGCTTGATTTTCTCTTACTTTTTTTTTTGGGCTGGATTTTTATTTGGGTGACCCATTTCTTGGAAATTGGATAGCTGTAAAAATCTCATTTTGTCAAGTTGTAATATGCCTTTTTTACTAGATAAGTGACTGATAAGGGGCATTTGAGCACCGTGTACCGTCTGCATCAGTTATTAGGTAAGTAAAACGAAAGACAATGCACTATTGGCAGTGTCCGACTAGGCTTTTGAGGTGGAAGGAATGGAGCGGAATATTTTTATCCCAGTTACTTATTGATTTGGGAAGTCGTGGGCTTACTTTTGAACTTGGATGAATGTTGCTATTGGGTTAGAGAAATTCTATGAAACAGGCATCAACGATTTTATAATTGTCTTCGCATGAGTGTTTTCATGGTCAACTCAGATTGATCCTAGTGGGTTATAATTTTGGAGTCATGATTTCTTTAGCATTCTAACTGATTGTAATGTTTGGTTATTCATGTCGAGTTGAAGAACCCACACCATATTTTTGATTATTGAGTGATGAGACATTTTTATTAAGATGTAGCATCTTACATCTAGAAATTTTCTTAACTGTGGTTGGCAACTTGGGTTAATTTGTACAAAAAATCTAATGGAATAGAAAATTGAAAAATAAAAGTACTTGTGTGAAATAGATTTACATGGAAAAAAATTATAACTTTTTGAATGAAAGGAGTGGGTGGGGGGAACAAGGTTTTAATCTATGTCTCATGTTATTGAAATTACTCTAACCACTTCATTTCTCTTTATTTACATTGAATCAATTACTCTTTGTCATTATAATTGAAGAACATGATTTATTTTCCTGCACTTATAACTTAGTACCGCTCAGTATATGCTTAGTACCGCTCAGTATATGCTCGGTATAGCTAGGTATTTGCTCGGTACTGCTAGGTACATGCTCGGTACCGCTCAGTACCGTTATGTGCATGCTTGGTACTGCTAAGGAACATGCTCGGTACCACTCGGTATCTTCCCATAAAAACAACTTACGAACTTCAAAAACAAATAGAACTTCAAAATTACTCTTACAATAAAATTTTGTTCCGGGAGCGCTGCCCCCAGAAACCCCCGCAGGGGGGCAGCGCCCCCTTGGACCCCCAGCAGTCCGGCATATTGTTCTATTAATCATCTTTAGTAATAGTTGTTAGTGTTAGTCTACTTCTTCATGAGTGCATGCTTTGATTGGAAGACATTGGACTCTATAGGAGAGGAGGAAGGGGTGAGAAGATTCCCTTGAAGACACATTTAGTGATGACACATGATTGGATTATATATGTTCTTTCTTAATTATACTTTGGGAGTTTTGATAGACTAATATTTTGTGGTTTTGTACTTTAAGATATGATTTTATTGCATCTATTTTCTTACTATTTCCTAATTTTAATTGTCATTTAGATATTTTTATTGTATGATATAATCTTACTATTTTTTACTTGCTAAAACCCTTAAATTCTCATTTACGCAATTCTTCGTCGGTGAGGCTTACCCTCACACCGCCTCGAGGCTTACGCCTCGCCTCAACGACGAAAAACGCATCGAGGCTTATTTACGCAATTTTAAACCTTGCCAAGAGCCATTGAAGACCTTACTAAAATATCTCCATGATTTAAGACTATCATATTAAATTGGATTTCAATTTGAATTTGAAATTCAAATTAATCCTAGTTAATAGCCTTTTATTTGAAAACTTCCCTTTCTCATAAAATTTGAAATTTAAATTCAGATTTTATTAAAACCTTGATTATTGACGTGGACCCCACTCACTAATTACAATTACTCTCTCTTCTCTCTATGTGTGGCCGCCCCCCTCTCATCCTTTTCTCTCTCCACTTGCCACCTAAGCCTCCATTAAGTAGCCAATTAATCCCCCCTAGCAACCGCCCCTCTCTCTAGCCTAATTTAGGGTGATTCTAATTGCAATTAATCTCTCCCTTTATCAAAGAAAATTTGAAATTCAAATTCAGATTTTCTTAAAACAAAATCTCCCTCCAAATCCCAACCCATAGCCTACTCGCCCCTTCTCCTCCCCACTCCCAAACCGACGGCATCCCTCCTCCCTCCTCCAAGGCCACGGTTCCACCACCTCTCCTTCTCCCTAGCTCACGACAAGCTCTCCCACCTCTCTATTTCTTCTTCCCTATTCAATCCCACACATGCATGCGGATCCCGAGATGGATAGCGGATTGGTATTTGACGTCTATGGAGACATCCACATCACTCGTTCACCGTTCTTCGACGTCGGATTTGGCTTCAACGACACGGTTGAAGATTATTTGAACCGCATCCTTCCCACTCTCGTGGACGTCATAGACGATCAATTCCAAGACTACGATTGGACCATCACCGGACATCCACCTGCTTCCCCACCTCCACCGCCGCCGCCTCCCTTGTCATCACTACGGATCGTAGGCGCCATCTACCTCGTAATGATTTCGTTTATTGTATGGTTCTTCTTCCTCTGACAACCCTAGACGTAAAAGAGTGACTTTGAGCCTCAAGGTGAGACGATCGCTTTGTTAACTGCCGGATTCTAGTTGACTAATCATTTCATTACTTTTGTTTAAGTTGTTATTTTAAAGAACTTGCAAATTTAGTTGTGATGGATTGCCTAAGCATTGTTTACTTCTAAGATCTTTCTTGAGTTTTCAATTTTGAGAAGCTTTAAAGTTATTTTTATCATTGCTCAAAGAAACTTTATTAATCTTTAAGAAAACAATTCCTGGTTTCACATCAGTTGAATTTAGATTTTTTTGTGTCATCCTATGATGCACCGACACGGACACTGCGACAAGGACACGACATGGACACGGGACATAACTATCATTGAAAATATAGGACACGAGTATGACTCGGATACGACATTATAATTTTTAAATATTGTATAGAAATTAATATAATATCATATTATAAATGATAAACAATATTAAATCAATATCATAATTACTTGTCTAGCTTATAATCTAAAATGTTTAGTACAACCATAAAAATATAAGCAAAAAATGTTTAGTATAACATCGAGCTTCAACTACTCATTAAAAAGAATAATAAGATTAACTTTAGGGTTTTGTCTTTGACCTTCAATATCATCATCATCGAATATCATTGCTTCCAACTCTATTTCATCAAGAGAAAGATTTGCAATATCCAATATTTCCATATCATCAAGGGACTCAAACCCATATCCAACAATTTCTCACATCTTTTTATCACCTTACATATAAAGTGGTGTCTTTTTTAATAGAAGACGAAAATTTGTATGCATATAAACTAAATATTTATCCCATTGTGATGTAATTTTGTTCCTCTTCATCGATTGAATGAATGAGTATGTGCTCTAATTTCCCTTACAACAAGAGGAGGATGAAACTTGACCAAGAAGTTTTATTGCAATTGTTTGAAGTTGCGGGGCTGAAGCTCCATGAATCAACCAACACATCTTTGGATCTATCCTCCATCTATCAACCAAAAAATTTTTATCACCAAAATCCTGAAGCACAACTTAGCATTTGCCATTCCTGAAGCACAACTTAGCAGCAAAATATCTCTTAATCTTGTGGTAAATTGCATTGGCCATTCCTGAAGCACAACTTAGCATCAAAATATCTCTTAATCTTGTGGTAACCACATCGCACGAGAGAAACATGCTATAAATACATATTAAATCACCCAATGACTGATATACCAAACCCACTGAGCTAGATATTCCTGTATCACATGAAGTTGAATCATTTTCATTCAGTAAGGAGCTGATAAATCATCTTCTTAAATAGCTAAAATCTCATTTCACATCTGATGCTCCTTTCAATTTTGTGGCACAATCAGGTAGAGAATTTTTTGCTCTGTCTGTTCTAAAAACCAATCAGTAGATTATAGATTCATGGGGCTGTTGATCATTTGATTAGTCATTATCGTTTTTTTTAGTTTCTGTTGACCATGTCTTGGTTTTGGAAAAAAAAAATGTTGACGGAAGTTTTTCATTCATTGCTAGCGATGGACATAATATTTAAAATATCAAAAAATATTTTCTTAAACAATGTTTTACATATGCCCAAACTTTCTTGCAATCACCTTTATGTTAGTAAACTCACTAAAGATTCTAACTGTTCAGTCTTTTTCTTCCTTCCATTTATGTTTTTTAGGACTGGAATTCAGCAAAAATGATTAGAACTGCTATTGAAATAAATGGATTGGACTGCTTTGATTATTCTTGGGATAAACAAGGTTATGTATTAGGTAGGACCAGGTCTATTTTTATTAATGATCAAGCTATATTATGACATAGGAGATTAGGACATCCAAATTTTTTTCATCTCAAACATATATTTCTTGAATCATTTAAATAATTGATTATTCTAAACTTCATTGTAAAGCTTGTTACTTAACTAAAGATTATCGTGCATTTTTTCAATAAAATCTTATTCTTCCTCAAAATCATTTTATTTGTTTCATAGTGATATTTGGAGCCCTTTTAAAGTCAAAACACTATCTAATATGTTGGGTTTATTTGTTGAAAAAATAAAGAGGTTGAGCAAAATTTTAAAGAAAACTCTTCTCATGATTGCAAATTAATTTTGAAGTAAAATTGGCATTCTTAGAACTGATAATGATATTGAGTGTTTCAACCAACACTTAGGGATATTTTTATTGGAAAGGAGTTATTTACTAATCAACTTGTTGTGACACACAATAAAAAAAAGAAACTTAGTAGAAGTTGCTCATGCCATTATATTTTCAATGAATGCTCTAAAATATTTTTGGAAAAATGCTTTTTTGACTACTTGATATCTAATCAATAGAATGCCATTAAGAGTTTTGAAATTAAAACACCTTTACAAATGCCCAAACATTATTTTTCTATATCCGGAATCATTGATGATCTTCCTCTCAGAATTTTTGGTTGCATTTGTTAATCACATATTAAATACTTTTAGGATAAAAGCTGACACTAAAACTGAAAATGTGTATCCATCTTTTATATTTCTAATAAAAAAGGTATAAATATTATAATCAAATTTATAAAATATTGCAGCCGTACCAGACAAATCTAATATCTGAGTTTTGATACTTCCCCTAGTGGCAGATAGTGCATTTATATTTAAAAAAAAATCAACGGAGAGACTTGCTTTAATTCTCTATTCCTTCATTTTTGGTTTATTTGATGTTGAGTGATTTATTTGCATTTCATGGTGGAAACATTTTCCCCTTTATTATGATTGTTTTACCAATTGAAGAAGATGCACTTGGGGGTAATACTTCGCAGCATATTTCCTTTCTGAAGTGTTCAGCATTGTCAATCAAATATACTGATCAGTTCAAGCAGAGAAAATTGTCATTACCCAACAGCCGGGTTAGCAACTAAGAAATGCCAAATGAAAACATATAGAGCTAACCCAATGAGAACAAGAATAAATATATACAGCAATTAAACAGCACTTAATTGAGCATCAACGGAAGGAGCCAGTTCAAGAGCTGCAATGGGGAGAGGGCTTTGGTTGGACTTGTCCTTCTGTTTGTGGTGCTCGACATTAGAAATAAGAAGCCAATTCCCAGAGGGAGATATTAGGGCGAGAACTTTCTCATCGCTGAATTTCTCATGGAGGAAGACGACACCCTCAAATGTATTGATGGAAATGCAGCAGCGAGCATAGTATTGCTGCAGTGGTGACGCCCAGTGCACTCATGGAGAAGGTTTGGCAGAACACGGTGCACCACACCAAAAGCGGAATTTTTTTTTTTTTTATGCATCTCCCATCCCATGCATAACAACAACATCAAGCCTTTATCCTATTGTGGGGTTGGCTACATGATTCTTTTTTTCTCCATTGTGTTATGTTAAGAGTCAAAGTTTCATTTAGATCTAATAAAGAAATGTCATTTCTAATATTTTCTAACCAAATCTTTTTAGGTATACCTCTACCTTTCTTAACATAAGACAAATTCATCAGAAGACCGCCGTTTTATGTGATGAAACCATCTAAGGCGACTCTCTCTAATTTTATCTTCCACACGAGTTACTCCAACTTTTTCACATATATGCTCATTTTGTATCCTATCTCTAAGAGCTCACTCATCTACCGAGCATTCTCATCTCTGCAGCACTTAACATAATATTATGCTTCTCTTTTAATGACCAACATTCTGCACTATAAAGCATTGTAGCCTTGCAGGTCTCACCACCATCTAAAATTTGAGGGGGACTTTTCTATCACACAACAAGCTCGTTGCATTCTCTACTTCAATCATCCAACTTGAATTTTATTAATAATATCTCCATCTATTTCACCATTACTCTAAGCAATAGACCCAAGATATCTAAAATGTGTAATCTTATTAATGACTTGATCGCCCAGAGTCACCATCCCTCCACTAGATCTATTACTTTTAAAATTACACTCCATATATTAAATTTTAGATTCGCTCAAACGAAAAACCTTTAAACTCTAAGGTTGACCTCTGCCTGGTGGCCGGCGGTCTGGGCGAATTAGAGGGGAGGCGGCGGCAAGGCCTGCAGGCCGGCGGGTAATGGGGGATAAGGAGAATTGGGATGGTGGAAGTAGACCATGAGCCACGGACTCTTCCAATGACTGGCGGGGATTGCTTTTGCCCTCACCTTGGGCTTTTCATAAAACTCACACAGAGATCTAGGAGAAAAGAACTCGCTAAGAGATCTTCAAGAAGGAACTCATAAAGAGAACACAAGAGCCAAATTTTCATTTAATAATCATCATCCTTTCCAAGAGGAAGGGGAAGGCTTAAATAGTCAAATACATGAAGGAAAAAAATAAAAGACATAATTGCCCCTAGGGCTACATAAGACAAAACCCTCAAGTGAGGGTAGAAAGGGAAAAGTACAAATAACAAATAAAATACATCAAGATAAGTAAACACGATCGTAGCCGTTGATCTACGATGTCCTTATCAACTAGGGTACAACCTCTTGTAAATGTCTAGTGAGAACATCCATGGCTAAAGCAAAAAGATATGGGCTTAAAGCTGATCCTTGATGTAATCCAACATAAATAGGAAAATACTTGATCAAACTACCTTTTGTTTGAACACAAGTAACAGCTCTCGCATAAATATCCTTAATAACTTGAATATAAGCATTATTAACCCATTTATTTTCTAGAACTCTCCATAGCACTTCTCTTAGAACTTTATTATACGCTTTTCTAAATTAATAAATATCATATAAATATCCTCCTTATTCTCTCTATACTTCTCCATCAAACCTCTTAATAAATGTATAGCTTACATAGTAGAGCTACCTAGCATGAATCCAAATTGATTTTGAGAAATATTAGTATATCGTCAAAATCTATGCTCTATAACTCTCTCCCATAGTTTTAAGTATGACACATTAATATAATTCATTTATAACTTGCACAATCTTGTGCTTCACATTTATTCTTAAAAATAGGAATCAACACACGTTCTCTACTCATCTGACATTTTTTTAATCTTTAAAATAATATTAAGAATTTTAGAAAGTTAAGAAATTCCTTCATCTCCTAAGCATTTCCGTACCTCTATTGGAATATCATCAGGTCAAACAGCTTTTCCACATTTCATTTTCTTTAAAGCCTCTCTAACTTCAGTTTTACTAATAAACCGATAAAAAGCAAAATCTTTATTTTCGTTTTTGATGCTAAGATCACTAAAATTAATTGTATTCTCACAATCTTCTTTGAAAAGTTTAGCAAAATATCTCGTACATCTTTGTTGAATATCCTCTTTTAATAAAAAAACACTTTTTGATCTTCATCCTTAATGCATTTCACTTGAACTAAATCCTTTTTACTCCTATCTCGGTAGAAATAGAAAAAAGCTTAAGAATCATTCGGTCCTCTCGTCTGCACCCACGCATATTCTTCTCTCGCTGTAGCATCTCGCGCCTTCTTCATCTTCGGAGTCGGTCGAGTCCCTATGGCCGGTCACGAGCTGGCTCGCACGAGATGGTTCGCGAGCCCACCTTTCATCACAAGCCAAGCACGAGTTCACCCTTTGAGCTTGACACGAGCTCGAGCTTTGGATTTGGCCAGCTGGTTGAGCTCGAGTTAGGTATGATTCAAGCTCGACTCGATTCGTTTACTCCCTAGTGACAACTTTTTACTTTATTTTTGAAATTGCTGTCGCGCTTAAGTAACATATGTAGTTGGAAGTTACTTTTTACAACCATATTTTTTAAAATGTGGTAACTATAATAAAATTATTGTTTGATTTAAAAAAAAATATTTACAAGGCTCATATTAGCTATAAAAAAGTTAATTCCCCCACAATAGCTTTGCAACCACCTTCCTGGAAAGCTCTTGGGTGTTTTTTTTTCATAATTTTGCTTTTTAGACAACTATCACACTTGGGCTAAAGGCTATCTTGTTGCTTGTAGGTAATTTTGTGGCGAGATGCAGTTTTTTACATCTAGATATGGTAGTGTATGGTAGCTTTAAAAAAATTTCTATTCGATTTTTTCAAAAGGAAAATAGTCTATAATATCCGCATCAAATTTCAAAAAATTTGTTTTTTTTTTCTACAACACTTCCATAGCTACTTTACCCGACAGCTTTGGCTCCCTCAAAATGGAATCTTTAAATTATATAATCTCTTAATTGTGGGGTTAAGCTGCTAATTGCCAGGATGCTTATTATGAAAATGATCTACCTGAAGCTGCCATTATGCTCACACTGTGTTATTATTTAGTGTTCTGATAACATGCCCCGGCAGGGATCTTGGCTTCCTTGGGGCTGTTAATGCCGTCAGATGCAGGAAGTTGCCGGGGAACGAGGAGGATATCTTCATGGGCGAGGGGGTATCTTATTCTTCATCCAAAATTTAGACTCTTTCTAACTTGCAGTTCTGTTATGTTCATTCTTTTCCTCCGCAGCTCTGGACAGTGATGACTTACTCTATCTGAAGGAACAAATGGAAGCCGAGGAAGATGCAGAACGCCTATTACGTCGCACAGAAAAACGTGCTTTTGCTGCATTTAAGATATGTTTTTGCATCCAAAATGCTTGAAATGTCAAATTAGCTCTTTCTCCATTCCCAAAATTCTTTTTTTTTTGTTTCTTTCACAAAGCAGCGAGTTTAGCAGATTCAACTCCTCCATCTTTGCCTTTACCTCTACGAGTTGAACCAAAAACAAAGAGCGGAATCAGGTGATAATTCAGTTTTCTGCTGTGTTTAGGATTCTAGGCTTCATTTGGGGCAACTTTTCTGTTGTTTTATGTTCATTCTCTCTATATTTTGTTTGTGGAATTATAGGCAGCAAGATCTATTAAAGAAAATTGTGGAAGTCAAGCCGAAGAAGCCAAGAGTTTCAACTCTGTCGGAGCAAACAAAAGTCAGCCTATCGAGCCCAGTTTTGCCTCAACCGTCATTGGCCACCCCGGCCGGAAATTGCACAGGTGAGCTTCCTTCTACATCAAAGGCAATCGGATCTCTGCCAAAGTATCTTCAAACTCCATCTCTCACTGAGAAGATAACTAAAAATGATTCATTAGTTACAAAACCAATCGCAGAAGTCATAGATTCCAATATGGAAAATCCTGTTCAAAGTTTATTAGGGATAACATACGATAGTTCTGACGAGGATATTTGAACTTTGAAGTTTTTTGTAAGAAGTTCTTAGTTTTGGTAGGCTGGTAGTTGTAAAAGCCCCTTCATTTGTTCTTTTGGTGAACTAAGCTGAAAATTCAAAGGATATTATTGAATGAATAATCTCTTTTATACTGAAAACTTGAGCAATTAATTGGATATCCATAGAAAGAATTTGTTGGTTTTATCAAAGATGATGCTGTTAGGTAGGACTTATTGTGTGTTTTGGTGCGTTTGTCCAACTTTAATAAATGAGACCAACCACAGAGTAGTATCCTATTAGATTACCTAAAATATACTAACAATTTTTAAATTGATTGTTCTTATTACATGTTTATGATTTGCATAATATAATTTCCTTCAAGATTTGTAAAATTTAAAATACATGTTTTTTTAATGATTTTTAATACTGAAATGAATTATATATATAATAATAATAACAACGTTAAACATTTATAATGCGAATTATTATTTTTTCCAATAAAATTATTATTGTCAGGTCTTAAATTCTGAATGAAAGAAAAATTGAAATGTTGTGTTCGGTAGTTGACAGTCATTGTAAAATTTATTAAATAATTATGAATATATTTAGTATTGTGAACCTATTGAATTGGACATGATAAAATGCACTCTTATTCATATTTTTGCTATATGGAAAGCATGCTTAAAAATCTTATTTAAATTTAGCTTATTTTTTTTAAACCCTAAACAAGCTAAATATGACCTTGTTATTGAGTTGGGCAAAAGCTATCTGTAAAAAGGGAGATTTACAGATGTATCCCAAAATATTTGCATATTTATGTCTAATCCTCAAATTTCTAATATTTATAAACACTCTCATTAATATTAACTTGTTTGAAGTAAAATACTACTTAGTTATTTTATTTTAATATAATTTAAATATTAAGGTTTCATTTGGGGTAGCTTTCTTCCTGCTTCTTAAAGCAGTTTTTTAAAACAAAAATTAAAATTTTTATACTAAAAAATTGCTTTAAAAAGCCGTAAAAAACCCGTCCTAAACGAAGCCTAAAATGATATATATATATATATAGATGAAATGTGGTGGGTCTGAAGGATATCCCAACCACTTTCTACTGGTGATGAAGTGGTGGAGAAGAGGTTACACAGAATTAATGGCTCACAAATTTATCAGCCTAGCATTAAAGTTGAAAAAAAAAAAAAAAAAGAAGACCTAAATCAAAAGTGTGAACTTAAAGACTTTTCCACAGCATATGGAGTAGCTTTCAGCACTGACTTATGCTTTGCCATTTATAAGGAGACATATATTGGTGGGGGTAATAACTAAGCCATAACCAAAAGAAAAGAGAAACAGAGCTTTTAACTGCAGAATTTAGAGCAAGTCAAGTCCATTCTCAAGCTCTCCATAACTTGGTTTTGAGTCTTTATTTAATACACACTTATGATGACATTTAGCCTATTAAAATTATTGCATGTTAATGTCATCTTTTTAATTCCTTGAGGCATAACTAGCTCCTCAGTTGACTTAAACACCTCAACTAAAAAAAAAAAAAAAAACTTCTCAACAAGCTTCATAGCCCCGAAAAATTAGAAATTTTGCTATAATTTTTGTTTAGAAAGTAGTAAGAAAGTCGTCCCAAACAGAACCTTTGTTTAATAATTTTGTGAGAAAGATGGATGGAGATAGAAGGGAGAGATAGAGAGAGAATTTCATGGATACAGCAACCTCAGATGTCCCTCTCAAGAAAATGAATAAAATGACATTTTAGTTGCTAGATGATGCTTATCTCAACCCACAATTTCAATGTAGAAACAATGACCTCTTTATTTTTCATATCAACTTATTGCAAACCCCACATGATCTCAATTCATGTGAATTATTGTGAAGCATCTACTTTTGCCAACTTGTTTTTAAGAATATTCATATACCATTATAATTGATTGTATAACAAAAACTAGCCGTTAAAAAAAATAATGACATCTTTGAACTTACAGCCAAAGATGCTAATAAATAAATACTTACAAAATTTATCCATTTTCCTTAAAAAAAAAAAACTAATATCAAATCCAAAAGCAAAAATGTCATTTTAGGCTTAATTTTGGACGGCTTTTTTACTGCTTCTTAAAGCAATTTTCTCGTAAAAAAATTTAATTTTTGTATTATAAAATTGTTTTAAGAAGCAGTAAGAAAACCGTCCCAAACGAAGCCTTAGTGGCTAGATCATGCTTACTCAACTCACAGTGTCTAGTGCATCTTTTCTCTTACAAGTATTTTGAATAGAATATACTGGAAAAAATAAAAAAATATTTTCTTTTGATATGACCTATAATTTAATTTAATTCTATTTTCGATCGAGGCAGAAGATAATATGATTTTAAATGTCTCATTATTTCTCCAAGTAAGAAAAAAAAAATTCTACAAGGAATGGAATATATGAGGAAGGCATAACAAGCCTGCAACTGCTGGCCAAATCATTCTATTCAACATAAGATAGATATGAACATTCTCAGGTACATAAGAAAACAAAACTTCTTTCTCTAAGTACCAGAAGCTACAAGTCACACTGCTCATAACAGATCAAAAGGAAAAGACATACCAAAAAAACAAAAACAGGAAAGCCAAAACTCAGCTGGTTCTTTTGCAGGAAAAGATAAACCATTTGATTTAGCCACCAACTCTCTCTTCATCTGCATCCAAGTGATGTTAAAATGGTTATTTTGCTCAGAAAATCTCTTCTCACATGGCCTGGCTGATGAAGAAGTTGAAATCATGATGGTGAACTCTTAGCTGCTTTAGCCATGAATCTGCAGCACTGTAGAGCGTCATGATCTTTTCAGGATCTGAATTTTCTGAATTTATCCAAATGTTTCCTTGCATTTTATAAGTTGCAAGGCCATATGGACATAAGCTGATGCAGCTTCTGGTATCCTTAGATTTCCTCCCAGAGTTCACAGTAGAAGTACAAGAAGTGTCTTTCTTGCAATCCATCAATACATTATCTGCATTAATTTCACTAAGAATTAATAACATGTATTCTTTATGCTCTCACAACACTAGAATTTTTCATGAAATGCACTCAATGATTTATTTTAGGGAGATTTACATACATGCCATTGAATTCTAATGTATTCACATATCTTAACATCTAAATTTTTAGACTAATTTATATAATGCTCTAATCTCTAAATGGAATAGATAATATCACTACCATTAACATATCTTAAGTGAAAAACATATTTTCATGCATATATTTTAATGCCCTTCAAATAATAGGCTGCTTTAAGAAGCAGTAAGAAAGTCATCCCAAACAAGCCTAAGTTTCTTACAAATCAAGCTTGAACAAAATTTCAACAAAAAGACAATCAAAGATTACAACTGCAAGCAAATAGATCAGCATGCTAACAACACAACTGCAGGAAATATATTAGAAAAGTGGTTAATTCAAGTTCGATAAAAAAGTATAGGGTGATGATCACATTTAGATCTGCAAAATATTTTTATGAATTATAGGGAAAGAAGTACATCAATTAGGAATCTAGCATGGATAGGAAGACCATGTGTTTTCATATCAATACCTTGTGGTTCAAATATCAAAAGTATTGAACCATGTAACGGGCAAATAAATATTTATAAAGAAAAATAGTAGATAAATATCATATTTTTATAAAAGAACATTCACAAATACCTTGGTAAGATGATGAGATGGTATGAAAAGTCAAAAATGATGCAGAGAGATCCTTAGCACTCTTGCGAGCGGGAATATGATAGATAGGGTACCTATTAAGATGTTATCATCAGATTCATAACAAATGAATAGCAAAACAACTTGAAGTAAGAAAGCTCAACTTAAAATTTTCTTTTGAATACTTGCAACAATTCATCATTCTTAAGCAATTGCAAGTTCAATATTAAATGGAGATCCTTGGAGAAAATTTGTCCTCTTAAAGCTTTTTACCAAGGAATCATGTTCATGGAAGATCAAATTAATTCCCGGAACAATCATCGATGTGGCAGATCTTCCAATCCTTACTGTGGTGGCTAAAAGGAATTGAGGTAGAAAAATCTACTTACCAGGCAACAGACATCCAACTTGCAGGAGAAAGATCCACACTCTTAAATGACAATAAACCTGGATGATTTCGAGAGAGCTCATTAACCTAGAAAAGCAGATAAAAAGATATTAGTTGAAGATGGTAAGCTTGCAAAAAAAGTTTGTGAACCAAACAGTCAAACATTATTAAATAACATGACATTACATTGCAATACAAATCAAACAATCCCTTAAAAACAAATCAAACAAACAATTTTGATCTTTACCTTGTCCGTAAGTGGAATCCTTCCCCATGGAGGACAGCATTCCATATACTGAAAGTACAGGTAACCCAATCGGCTAGTCGACCATGAACCATCCTGATCAAAAGATGAATCCTCTGATGCAGCATCCCATGACCTCGATGGCTTCTCACTCTCACTGTCATCACTCCAAGAATCGCTCTCACTTTCCTCTCCTAATGTCCTGAACATTTGCATCAAAAGAAAGCTCAGATTTTGGAGCAAACAGAACCAGAAAGGATAAAATACAATCTGGAATGCATCATTATCTTAATACCTCAGAGCAGCTAGAGATTTGCTGGTGTAGATCTGGAGGGCAGACAAGTAAGGCACATAGTATTGGACTACAATTTCACCATCAGGGAAGAGAATTGGAACTCCTGCACCATAAGCACTCCATTCCTTGTACTGATCCCAGAGTTCTCCAAGAGTAAAGAACTCTACCTCTTCCTTGTCATTTGGCTGCCAGATGCTGTTCAGGTCTCTAATGCATGACTACAAAAGAACAAAAAGAAGCATATTTTTTATGAAAAATGCATATTTTAGGCAATTTCATGCACAATCTCAAATCTTAACTTTTTACCAAACTAGTAAACTCATATATTGATTCGTCAAATTCCTACCCAAACCTTGAAATTCACAACAAAATTCCGACTATTATAGTTTGATTGCAACACATATAAATAAATAAATTAGTTTAAATATTTTTTTCTTTAAATACAACTGAAATAATGCTAAAAATTCAAAATTGGTTGGCTGAAAAAGCCAACAAAAAGAAGTGACGTGAATGGGCCTGTGGAAATCTCCTACATGCCATGTAAATATTTCCATTCAACATAGTGGAATGCTAATTTGGTTGAATTTGTCCAACAATGACACTTAAGAAGGCTTTTTGGTTATTTTGGTTTAACATGACGACTATGAATCAAGCCCAAAAGAGAGAAGAATAAAACGAAGCTAAGTCTCCATGAATCTCTGGAAAAAATTGGTCTACAAGGAATCCAGGCAAACCCTTTGAAAAGATAAGGGAGAGTGGAATTTAGCTACAGTAGAGCAAGTTGGAGATAAGAGATTTTGACATAAATTCTATGAAAATTTATTTTATTTTGAATGAAATTTTTCTTTAGATTGTACTCGACCAATGACCTACCATTCATGGGAGAGGATCAAGGTTGGTATTACTATATTGGCTACATTATTTAATTACATAGAGAATGTATAGGTTGAACTTGGTGCAACAAGCTATGTAGTGAGCAAGTTAGATCTATAGTTGGCTGGTAGTCAAGGGAGCTTCATACAAGTTTTGAAAGCCCCTTCGATGAGTTCATCTAATGAGAACCCCCAATTAGTGAATTCTCTAGCTAGTTGATGAGTCCTTCTTAGCAAATAGTCATCATTAATGGGTGATTTTGAGTCCCTCCAACAGAATTGGAGCTAAGTCTTAGGCAAATGATCTGAGATTCAATTTGGGTTACTTTTGATTTGCTGAGTTTAGACTTGTTGGCTGATCAAGCCAGTTTTAAATCAATGACTTCTTAAACTTTCTCATAATGGCCTTATTAACCTCAACTCAGTGGACACAATGAACACAATTTTAGGGACTGGCTGTAGATCTAGAGGAGAAACCTGCATGGTCAGCCATAACGCCCTCTGCAACTACATCATCTACATTTCAGTAAATAAAGCAAGCTTTTCTTCTCCATCACATACACCAAAAACAGAAACCCACACATTAAGATGAGTACTTCTAAACTGAAAAGAGAAATTTTGCAGGAAAAAAGTGATGGAAAATGAGGATGATCTTCAAAGGAATGCGAGGGAAGAGAAATTTGGCCTCGGAAAACGATTTCTTGCGGAGAGAATACTTAGACCAGGGAAGCAAAATCAGCGGATAATAAATTAACAACTTTATGGGGAAAAAATAAAAAATAATCCAAAACTCGGGTCAGCTGAACAAAATCAGGGAAAAACACTCTTTTTTGTTTTCTTTTTGAGCTTTGTTTAAGGGAAACGTGCACAAACACACAGACAGAGAGAGAGAGAGAAAGAGAGAGAGAGAGAGAGAGAGAGAGGAAGAAACCTTAGGGAGAGATTGAGAGGCAACTGAAGGAGTGGTTCTGTCGAGGAAGCACTGTAGATTAGAATGCCTTCTGAAGTTCGCAGCCATCATTCTCTTTCTATCCCTTCCAGAAAAGATCTCTTCTAATTTCTCTCCTCTGGTTTTGCCCCTATTGTTCTAATCTCGCTTCTTCTTCTATCTATACCATCAACAAAAACAGCTTTCACCCACAAACAAAATCTTCCCTCTCTTTCCCCAAAAAAAAGAAAAAAAAACAGAAAAAGAGAAAGCTAAAAAGAACAGAAGAAGAAGCAGAAAAAAAAAAACAATCTTTCTCCTCTCTTTCTACCCTTCTTCCCCCTTCCAATACTAACTTTTCCTTGTAAAGCAGAGTAACAGACGAAGAATAGAGCAAAGAGAAAGAGGAGCAAAAGGATGACGTAAAAAAGCTTCGAAAATAAGGAAATTACGACACCACATCCATTCTATATATTCATCGCATCATCGAACTCCCCACTGAAACTCTAATTTTAGAAACCACCGATCCCTGTCATCAATGCTCTTCCTTTCTCTCTCCACCAAATAAAAACTGCACAAATTGGCGAAACTCCTTCCCTTCCTGAGAACTCCAGTCCTCTCACCTCTCACTACCAAAAAAGATGACTCCTTTTCTGTGTTTCTCAACCAGAAGGACGAGCAAAACAGGTTAGGAAAAAAAAGGACAAAATCTCTCTCCTTCGATCGATCAGAACCCGTTCTCTTCGCCGCGTGGGCTGCTGCTCCGCTGTTGGGTTTTTCCTCTCTTTTATTGCAGTTTTGTCCGAATCGTCATGCCGTTATCTGTAGGGTGGGTAGATATGTAATAACGTGTTAAAAAACCGGACCTTTTTGAGTTTCAGAAACAGGGAAAGAAAAAAAAAACAAAAGAAATTTTCTTGGTCCAGAAATTGACTATAACGGGCGATGAAATTCAAAAGGAACAGCTGAAATGTTTGAGAGATTTTTCCTTCTTTGATATTCTCACTACCTTAAAGGATCTCCACTTACGTTTGGAAAGGACTACAGGTGGCTAATTGTTTCTTAATGGAGCGACATTTTATCATAATTCACCTTCTTTTTCCCTCTTAGTGTCAACAAAGGTAAATATTCTTTTAATCGGTGAGTGGTTCATTGGGATATTGCGGTTATTAGCAATAGCTTTCAATGAACGCTGTCAACTGAAATGAGCTGCTCCAAATGAAACATCTTTTTAAAAGATTTTAAATGTTTTTAATTGCAGCCTCTAATGTTCTGTGAAAGTTTTCGTAGGACAACAAAGAGGAAATAAATTGTAAATTATTTAGCTTAAATTTATCATCTTAGATCAATAGTTCATGGATTGTTTCACATATAGAAGTTTATATATATATATATATATATATATTAAATGAATGTCAGTCACACTACCTCAAGATTGTTAAGAGATGTGTAGACAAGCTTAATGATTAAGTTATGTTGCGGGCTAGAATATACGTAGCGATAGAGTTAAAAAACAGCGTCTTAGCGTTGTACGAATATCCAACTCATTCACAGAGAACGCAAGATGTTTTTTAAGCGAAAAATCCTGGAAAGGGGAAAAACCACAGGGTCTTGCCCAGTCTGAAATGATTCCACTAATGTTTGGGTAGATTACAATAGACTGACTCGTCCGTGAGGGCAATCAAATTACAAATGTTAACCATTTGGTTGAAATCTAGTGACAAACGAGGATGAAAGTACAATATCACTTGGTGGATTGGCATGTCTAGTCCTACTTGAAAATAGAGGCATTAGTTGGTGGTCCGGCGGAACTCTGAGCCTCAGGTGATGGTCCGACAGAAGTTCGGGCCTCAGGTGATGGTCTGGCAGAACTTCAGGTCTTAAGTGGGGGTTTGACAGAACTTTTGGCCTTAAGTGATGGTCTGCAGAAGTCCGGGACTTAGATGGTGATCTGGCGGAACTTCGAGCCTCAGGTGGTAGTCCGGCGGAACTTCGGGCCTTAGGTGGTAGTCCGGCGGAACTTCGGGCCTTAGGTGGTGGTCCAACAGAAGTAAGGGCCTCAAGTGATGGTCCGACGAAGAAACAAAGTCAGGCGGTGGTTTGGCGGAGATGAGGGCCTCAAGTGGTGGTCCGGTGGAGCAACGACGTCAGGCGGTGGTCCGGCGGAGGTGAGGGCCTCAAGTAGTGGTCTGGCGGATGTGAGGATCTCAAGTGGTGGTCTGGCGGATGTGAGGATCTCAAGTGGTGGTTCGGCAAAACAACAACGTCAGGCGGCGGCCCGGCAGAGGTGAGGGCCTCAAGTGGTGGTCCGGCAGAGTAACAACGTCAGGCGGTGGTCAAGGAGGAGCAAAGAGGCAAGAGTGATCTCCGATCTCTCTCTTGACTCATTTTTTCTTGAGGTCATCTTTCAAGAGAAAGGAGGGATCTATTTATAGATTTATGGAATGGTATGACCCGTAAATAGGTGAGAGATCAAGGGTAAATGGGGAGTGGTTGGATGGATGGTCGATGTTGAATCCCTTGATCAAGGACCGTTTGATGGACCTTTGAATGTCTTAGTGATGTCGGAATTTGGTGATCTTGGGCTCGTTGGATTTGTCTCGACAAGCCGCTCGATTCGATTACAAGCACGTTATGTTTGGAAACCGTTTGATAAACCAAATTGTGATTTGAACCATCCAATATTGCTTCTAACCCTTGATTTGGACCCATTTGGGCTCGGATTGGGTTTGATTTGGTGTCGTTTGGTTCATATTCTCGAGACATTTAGTTCGACTATAAATTTGTTGAAATCGGAGTTGAGACGGTCTCCGAATTAACTTTTGAAGTTTTCAACTTGATTTTGTCTCGAGATTCGTACCCAATCAAGATATTTTTTTGATGATATATCAATTTGAATTTTAAAATTATTTTTCATCCTCAGACAAATGAATAATTCGAGAGGATGCATGATATAGATGATGGAGGACCCATTAAAATTATGCATCTCAGGCTTTAGAGGTGATGGAGGACCTTTAGAGGTGATTGAAAAGGTCATTCTCCTTAGATTGAATTTGTCTATAATAAATTTTTTCAACCTACCATTGGGATGAACAATATGAAGCTTTATATAATAGAGAATGTATATAAAAAGCCTCTAAGTGAGATTAAAGTTGAGAAAAGTAGATCAATTGGCTACATTTTAGAAAACAAATCATAATCATTGACTTTAGGTCATATGGTCCCCTCTATTATCAAAGGTAAGAAGTAATTTTGATCTCCATACAACACAATACTTTGAAATTTAATCCCCACTACTTTATGTGGTATACATTGTAGTTCAAGGCATTTATGACATTTATGTTGTATTGATGACAACTCCAATTTTAGAGAAGGTTAGCCCTATTATGCTCTAACCCAATGTAGCATCAATAATAATTGACCACATCAAGTTGAAGTGTGACTAATGAGGAGAATATCAATTCATATCATAAATACATTACATTCATAATTTTCATAATAATGCTTCCCTCAAAATCCAAGATCAATTTTGATAGAGAATTTTAGTTATATATATTATGTGCTAGAATATTTGCGGTTGTAGAGTGAGAGATCTAAATCTTAGTTTTTAATAAAATAAATAAAATAATGTTATAAGAATACTATAGTTCTTACATGAAACTCCTGAAAAAGAAAAATCATGAGACTTTGCCTAACTAAAATAATTTCACTAACATATATCATTGGCTATAAATGATACACTTGTCATAATTGGAGAAAGTGTTGATATAATACAGTAAGCATGAATTGTGGATGATGAATTCTATGGTGAAAGTTATAAGATATTTGAAGCATTTAAGTTATCTTAAAGCGATCATTTATGATATATTTGGTCATTTATCTTTGAATATAGAAGGCCCAAGACCTAAAAATTTATTATAATCTTACTGTTGATGTTGAAAATTAAAATTGGTCTAATAAACAGACATCAATCTTATTAGTGAAAATTATATTTGTGTGGAGGTGGTTGGGAGACCATAATCGAACAAAGCATGGCCAGAGTACTACAGTAGGTTAGAAGAGGCTGAAGATTTAGTTGGCTGACAATAGTTGAAGGATCGTAGTCTAGTAATGATGGTTAAGAGGTCGTAGTCAAGCGATAAAAGTTGGATGATGACAGTTGTATGATAGTAGTGGCTAGCGACAATAACTTATACCAAATGTTGGGTAGAGCTTTAGAGTTCCTCAAATTCTAAGCTCTCTGCAATTACAAGTCTAGCTTCCCTTTGATGTAGAAATTATGAGTATATTTACAGTATTTTGAGAGTGTCACTTCCATAAATCTAGCCAAAATTTCATGACATCCTATTTCATTAGATTTTCTTGGTCAAGATGCTTTATTTGATTATAAACATGCGAGATTTAGATATTGTTTAATCCTTAAATTGCAAATATTTTTAATTTTAATTTAGGTTCATTTGGACTTAGAATGAACCACCTTTTGGTGTCATTGGGTTCATAGATATTTAATTTGACTATAAATTTCTAAAAATCAAAGTTTAAATGGCAGTAAATTGGAATATATATATTGATACCAATTTTTCATAAAATTTGAAAAAAAAGGTATATTTGCATCAAAATCTTATCTCAGATAAATTTTAAAAATGTAAATCTATTTTTAATAGATATAATAAATAAATAAATAAATGATATTATATCAATCTTATCTTATTACTTTTTTTATTTAGGCACACGTACGGAGATAGCGCACAGATGCCACGTGTCCCATCCACGTGCCGCACGTTGGCCTCTCTCTTTTGCTGCCGCATATTCACTGTGCAAATGGGTCCCACATCTGCAATGTCATTTTTAACGAGTGTGAAATGACTGATATACCCTACGGTTGGATAACTTCTCCTCGCGGTGGCTCGGCTTCGCCCAAAATCTCGATATTGGAGTTTACAATCATGCCCTTCGTTCTCTGTGAAATTACGGATTGGAAATGGAATTTTTTAATAATCAAATTGATGATAATTATCTATAATCACTGATTAATTTTGAATTAGTTAGTTATATGATATTTTTAAATTAATTTTGATGAAATTTAATAAAATAAGAAAACATATTGCATAAAATCGATTGACTTTGGCTCAATTTGATTGAAATTAAAATATATCTTCTAGAATTTTAATTTATTTTAATATTTATCAAACTTATATTATATTAATTTAAGATCTAACATGTATTTTTTAAAAATATAATATTATTTAATATTGTTTAAAATTTTACATTTAATTGAACACAAATATTTGCATAAATTCTAATTTTAATGCAATTAAAAATTTGTATCATTGTGATGACATATTCGTATTGAATGAAATTAATTGAGTGATAAAGATCGACTAACTAACTAATTGATTGGAGTCTATAATAGAAGAATGAAACAGAGCTGACTGAGATATGATATGTTATAGGCTGATTATTGATACATATAATCGTTATAGATATATTGATGAATATATTTCTTTATATATATATTTAACAAAAATAATATTTCATTACTTGAAAAAGGGGGCAAATACAAGCTCAAAAAAGCAATTGCAAAAACAGTAGGAAAGAACAACCCCGAGGGCTCAGTAGAAGGCCGAGACTACCAGCTCTCCAGAAGACAAGCTCGGACCGTCCAATTGGCGAAACATAAACCAAGGTTGCCACGAACCTAGCTGGTGGGAAGCGAGCCCCAGCCACATCATAGCCCAGCGATAAAAGAACTAGAACGAATATATTTCTTTATATGATTTACAACATATTGCTCAATT